TGACTATAAGGGGCTATAAGATAGTGTCCATGCACTTATCTATACACATGAGGGGCATATGGATACGGGGGGGCTATAAGTATATGGAAGGGGTATAAGCTCCAGGGTGTATAAATACCACGGAGGGGGGGAATATAAATACCCAAAGGTATAAATCCTATGGTAGGTAAATAGCTGCGAGAGGGGGTGTCTAAAAACCCCCAAGGAGCCATAAATGTGCTATAAAGAGGGGGGGGGAATAGAACATATAGCGGGGGTGGTGACAGTGACACCCATGTGCCCCCCCGCCCCAAGGAGAACCGGAGCCTGACCCTGAAGCTGCGCAAGCGGAAGCCGGACAAGAAGGTGGAGTGGTCCAGTGACACCGTGGACAATGAGCACCTGGGCCGCCGCTCCTCCAAGTGTGAGTGGGGACCCCCCCGTGCCTCCCCCACCTCCCCATCGCGGACATTGGGGAGCCCCCCCTGACACCCCCTTTTTTGTGTGCCCCCCCCCTTGCACCTCAGGCTGCTGCATCTATGAGAAGCCGCGAGCGTTCGGGGAGAGCTCAACCGAGAGCGAGGAGGAGGAGGAGGAAGAGGAGGAGGAAGCAGCCGGGGGGGCGGCCAGGGTGGGGCACGATGGTTGCGGCCACCTCCATTGCATCAGGGGACACAAACGGGGGCAGAGGCAGCGTGGGGGGGACACGGGGGGGCCCCAAGCACAACCCCCTGGGCCCCCAACCCCTATGGAGCACTGAGGAGTCCCCTATGGAGGCTCCTGGATACCCCCCCCCCATCAAATATTGACTCTGGACTGGACCCCCCCATCCCCCAGCATCACATCAGGGGTTGACTCCCCCCAGATCAATGCCTGACCCCCACAATGCCTGAGCCCCCCCTCCCCAAACCACCATTGCCTGAACCCCTCCCATCACTGCCTGAGCCCCCCCCCCAATCAACACTGCCACCCCCCACATGCACCCCACTGTTTGGGGGGGGCGTTTTGGGGTGCTCCCCCCCCCCAACATGGCACCTGTGGGCATTAAAGGTGGCACTGCTGTGACTGCTGCTGTGGCGCTCGGTGGGGGGGGGCACGGTGTTTATTGGGGTGTCAATGGGGGGGGGACGGCTTGGGGTGGGTCCCCCCACCCTCAGGTGGCTCCTTAGGGGGTGGGGGGCCGGGGGTGGTGGTGGCAGCGGCGTCAGCTCGGAGCTGGGCCCCCAGGCTGTGGGGAGAAGGGAATGGGGGGGGTTAATGACAGGAAGGGGGGGGCACCTTTGGGGTGTCACCGGGCCGGGGAGTGTCCCCATGGGAGGGACCAGGAGCCACCAAAACAAGCGTCACCCCCCAGCAATGTCACCCGACCGGCTGGGCCTGGCACGGGACTCAATGAGCGGGAGTGTCCCCCCCCTGCGGCACCGCACCGCACGTGAGGGATGGGGCACGGGGTCATGGCCCCCCCCTGCACCCCAAAGGCACCCACAGCATCCCCTCTGCACCCCAATGGCACCCACAGCACACCCACATCTCCCCCCGCACCCCAAAGGCACCCACAGCACCCCCCCTGCACCCCAATGGCACCCACAGCACACCCAGATCTCCCCCCTTGCACCCCAATGGCACCCACATCCCCCCCCCACCCCAATGGCACTCACAGCACACCCAGATCTCCCCCGCTGCACCCTAATGTCACCCACATCCCCCCCCCGCACCCCAATGGCACCCACAGCACACCCAGACCCCCCCCAACTCCACAGCACCCACTTAAAACATTAGGGTTCCCCAATTCCCCTTCACCCCCCCAAGTCACCCCCTGGGTCCCCTTAATTCCCCCCATTCCTTCCAGGCACCCCCATATCCCCCCACTTCCTTCACAGCCCCGCAAGCCCCCCCTTGACCCATGGCCCTCCTGGACCCACAGCCCCCAGTTCCCCTCTATTGCCCCTGAGCACTGGATCCCCCCAGCCTCCCCTTGACCCACGGGTTCCCCCAGCCCCCTTGGTCCCCCCAAGTCCCTCCTGGACCCCCGAGTCCGTCCCCCCCCAGGCGCCCAAGTGCCCCCTTGGCACTGGGTCCCCCCCCAGCCCCCCAAGTGCCCCCTTGGCACTGGGTCCTCCCCAGCCCCCCAAGTGCCCCCCCTGCCCTCACCTGCGGCTCTGGGGACGCCGGGGGGCCGCGGGGGTGCCCCGGGCCAGGCGCTGCGCGATGCGGGTCTCCACGGCCAAAGCCACGGGGGTGCGGAGCCGGTGCGGGGCAGCGGTGCGGTGGCACCGGGGGCAGCTGAGGGCGGCGCCGGGGCCGGGAGGGGGAGCGGGGGTCCCGGCGGTGCGGAGGCAGCGGCGGCAGCAGCTGTGGTTGCAGGGCAGCAGCACCGGGTCCCGCAGCGGCTGCCCGCAGGCCGGGCACAGCGTGTCCCGGGCCAGGCGAGCCAGCGGGCCCCGCTCCGGCGGCACCGAGGGGGCCATGGAAGCGTGTGCGGGAGCGGGGAGGTGTGAGCGGGGAGGGAGGGACGGGGCGGGGCGGGAGGTGGGACATGGACATGGACACGGAGGGAGGGAGGTGCAGGAGGAGGGTCCGGGAAGGAGACGAGGGTATGGAGGATGTAGGGAGAGAGGTGGGCACGGAGGGAGATGGGGGTACACAAGGGACATGGACGGGCAGAGGGACGTGGACATGGGACATGGATGGACATAAACAGAGATATGGGACATAAATGGAAAGAGATATGGGACATGGATGGACATAAACAGAGAGAGATATGGGACATAAACAGAGAGAGATATGGGACATGGATGGACATAAATGGACATGGATAGACATAAATGGACAGAGATATGGGACATGGATGGACGTAAACTGACAGAGATATGGGACATGGATGGACATAAATGGACAGAGGGACATGGATATGAGACATGGGTGGACATAAAGGACAGAGGAACAGAGATATGGGACATGGATGGACACAGGAGGACATGGGGACACAGCTCTGCCACATGCCTGCCCCCCCACCACAGGCCACCGGTGCTGCCCCAACCAAACCCAGTCCGGTGCCGGTGAGATAGAGCCAAATCCCAGCAGGGGTGGATCCCTGCATCCCAGACCTTGAAGAGCCAAATCCCAGTAGTGCTGGATCAGCGCATCCCAGTGGTTCCAGATGTGAGAGCCAAATCCCAGTAGTGCTGGACCAGTGCATCCCAGCGGTCCCAGACATCAGAGAGCCGCAGACCCCAGTTGTGCCAGCCCTTGGAGAGCCGAATCCCAGCGGGAGCTCCTCACCGCTCCGGAGCTATCCCTGTCATTCCCAGTCCGTGGGCGAGCGGATGACGAGCGGAGCCGCGTTCTTCCTGCCGGCGCGGATCCCGGGATAGAAGAGGGGCCAGACCTTCTCGGTGAAGGTGGCGGTGAAGGTGTAGATGTGGGAGCGATCGGTCACGTTGTAGAAGGCCACTTTTCCAGCCTCGTAATCCAGGAAGACCCCGACGCGCTTCGGCTTCACCCGCAGCGTCAGCGGCGTGAAGGGGGTGGTGGTGGCCGCGTACTTGTCCCCATTCCAGAGCCGGACGCGCCAGTATCCCGCCTCCGGCAAGGGGGTCAGTTCCCCTTTCCTGCTCACCGAATCCTTGCACACTCCCAAAGCCCAGTGGGTTTTATCCCCGACTTCCACCTCCCAGTAGTGCCTGCCGGAGGTGAAGCCCTGCGCCGCCAGCACGCAGGGGTAGATGGTGAAGCGCCGCGGGGAATCGGGCACATCCCGCGGCCCCACTTCCACAAAGCGGACGCTTTTCCGGTCCTCCGATAACACCAGGTTGGGATGAGCCGTGTCGGGATCCAGCGTCACCTCCCCTGCGTGGCCACGGCCGCGTTTAGGAGGGGAGGGATGCGGATAAAGGGGGGGGAATCAGGGATGATGGATGGATGGATGGGGGGGGGCTCACCGAGGAGGTGCCGCGTGAGCTTGCGCAGGGTGAAGTACTGCCGCGGGAAGCTGCCGAAGTTCTTCTCCAGCTCGATAGGAATGGAAACGGGATCATCCACGGGAGCCGCCGCTGCCTCGCACCTGGGGGCAGGTGTGATGCTCCGGCTGAGCGAAACGCCCCAAAATCCTGCTTTTCTGCCCCAAAACGCAGGCCTGGATTGCTCTTACCTGGCCAGAGTGTCCTTGATGTCCTAAACAGGAGAAGGAGGAGGAAAATGAGGGTTTAGTGGGATAGATCCCCCCAGATCCATGCTCTAGGAATCCTATCCCCAGCCATGATGCCATTCCTGCTGCCAATTCCCTCCCCAGAGTTCCCAATCCCATCCCCTGGGATCCTGTCCCTAAACCCAATCCATCCCTACAACAAATCCCATCCCCGGAGACTATCCTATCCCCAGCAACCAATCCCTAGGAATCCCATTCCCAAAATCAACCCTACCCCCTGGGGCAATCCCATCCCCAAAACTAATCCCATCCCTAGGAATCCCATTCCCAAAATCAACCCTAGCCACCGGGGTGATCCCATCCCCAAACCTAATCCCATCCCTAAGAATCCCCTTCCCAAAATCAACCCTACCCCCCAGAGTTATCCCATCCCCAAAACTAACCCCGTCTGCCAGGATCCTGCCCCCCAAACCCAATCCTATCCCTAGGAATCCCATCCCCAAAATCAATCCTTCCCCTTTTAGCGATTCCACCCCCAAACCCAATCCCATCCACAGGGACACCATCCCCAAACCAGCGCCAACCCCATCCCCACGGCTCACCCCACTCCATCCCCGTTCCCTGCTCACCCGGAGCATCTCGGCTCCCGGCTGCAGGCACTTCTCCTGGAGCTGGGATACGAGGGCGGCGAGGCCACGGCGCTGCTCTTCCAGGCGCTCCAGGTTGGCCTGGAGCCGCTCCAGGATCTCCTGCTCCTCGTCCTCCAGGCGCCGCAGTAGCAGCTGCTCCTCCTGAGCCAGCAGCGCCCGCAGCTCCTCGAACTCCTGAGCGATGCGGTCCCGCCGCCCGGACACCAGCCTCTGGGATAACGGGATCAGCACCGGGAGCCGGTCCCGGACGGGGTCCCCCCCCGTCAGCCATCACCCACCTTCAGCTGGGCCGGCTTCTGCTCCTCGCGCGCGTGGCAGCCGCTCAGCACTTCCAGCTTCTGCTCCAGCGGCTCCAGGCAGCGCTGCAGCTTCTCCTGCCCAGGGAGAGAAGTGGGATGGGATGGGATAGGGTGGGATCCTCCTGCTCCAAAGCCCAAACCCAGCCCCAAAGCCCTTCTCCATCCCTGAACCCTTCCTCCATCCCTGAGTCTCTTCTCCATCCCTGAATCCCTCCTCCATCCTCAAGTCCCTGCTCTGTCTCTGGGTCCTTTCTCCATCCCTGTATCCCTGCTCCATCCCTGAATCCCTTCTCTACCGAGACGAGTGAGCGAGCAATGCCCTTCCTGGATAACCCTGGCACTCAACCTGGAATCAGGAACCAACCGGATCCCAAGTGCCCTCTAAAAGCAGCCGCAGGAAAGAAATTTGGGGCTCAGTCCCATCAGGAGGGGTTGGAAAATGAAACTGGGATGAGCAGCATCACAAAACCCCTCCAGAAACAGCCTCGGGGAGGGAATTAGAGGCTGAAAACGGGATTGGGACAAAATGGAACCAAAAACCCTTCCAGAAACGGCCTCGGGGAGGGAATTTGGGGCTGAAAATGGGGATTGGGACAAAATGGAGCCCAAAACCACTCCAGAAACAGCCTCGGGGAGGGAATTTGGGGTTGAAAACAGGGATTTGGATAAAATAGAACACCCCCCCCCATCATCACCTTGTACTCCCTGGCAGCCGCCTCGAGGGGCACGAGGACGTGGGCCCGGTGCGCGTGTGAGATCTGGCAGAGGAGGCAGACGGGGGCTTGGTCGTCGCGGCAGAAGCGCGCCAGGGCCTGTCCGTGGGTCTGGCAGCGGGCGCCGTCGGGGGCCTTGCGCTTGGTGCCGCGGAGCTGCCGCGCCGCCTCCACCATGTTGCCGAGCTGTCGGTTGGGGCGGAGGGCGCGGCGCCGAGAGGTCTTGCGGCAGACGGGGCAGGGGAAGTCGCGCGCCAGCTCTGCCCACCAGCGCGTGATGCAGGCGCGGCAGAAGTTGTGCCCGCACTCGAGGAGGACGGGGTCCCGCAGGTACTCGAGGCACACGGAGCAGCTGGCTTCCACCCGCAGCGTCTCCAAGGGGTCGGAGCAGGACATGGTGGGGGTTCTGGGGTGTGGGGGGGGAACGGCATCAGTGGGGGCGAGGTGACGACGTCATCTTCACCGGTGCTTTCTGGGGGGAAAATGGGTGAATTCGGTTAAAATGGAAACGTGGTGGTGGGGAGCCCAGCAGGAAACGTGGGCGCCAAAGAGGAATTTTGAGGGAGAATGATGTCAGTTTGGGCAAAGTGATGACATCATCTTCACCGGTGCATTCTGAGGGTACCTATAGTAAGGTCCCTATGGAGAGCTCACTATAGGGACCTCCTATAGCAAGTCCCTATAGGGGATCCTTATAGCAGGTGCCTATAGCAGGTCTCTATGGTGGGGTCGCTACAGGGGGCTCCTATGGAAGGTACCTATAGGGGATCCTTATAGCAGGTTCCTATGGTGGGGTCGCTACGGGGGGCTCCTATAGCAGGTCCCTATGGTGGGGTCACTATAGGGGGCTCCTATAGCAGGTCCCTATGGCGGGGTCACTATAGGGGGCTCCTATAGCAGGTCCCTATAGCAGGTCCCTATGGCGGGGTTGCTATAGGGCTCTCCTATAGCAGGTCCCTATGGCAGGGTCGCTATAGGGCTCTCCTATAGCAGGTCCCTATGGCGGGGTCGCTATAGGGCTCTCCTATAGCAGGTCCCTATGGCGGGGTCGCTGTAGGGTTCTCCTATAGCAGGTCCCTATGGTGGGGTCACTATAGGGCTCTCCTATAGCAGGTCCCTATAGCAGGTCCCTATGGCGGGGTCGCTATAGGGTTCTCCTATAGCAGTTACCTATAGCAGGTCCCTATGGCGGGGTCGCTATAGGGCTCTCCTATAGCAGGTCCCTATCGGGGTTCCCTATAAGGCTCTCCTATAGCAGGTCCCTATCGGGGTTCCCTATAGGGCTCTCCTATAGCAGGTCCCTATAGCAGGTCCCTATCGGGGTTCCCTATAAGGCTCTCCTATAGCAGGTCCCTATCGGGGTTCCCTATATGGCTCTCCTATAGCAGGTCCCTACAGCAGGTCCCTATGGCGGGGTCGCTGTAGGGCTCTCCTATAGCAGGTCCCTATCGGGGTTCCCTATAGGGCTCTCCTATAGCAGGTCCCTATGGCGGGGTCGCTGTAGGGCTCTCCTATAGCAGGTCCCTATCGGGGTTCCCTATAGGGGTCCCTATAGCGGGTCCCGGCCCCCCCCCGGCCCCCACTCACCGCCGCTGCCCTCCACGCCAGGCCCAGCGCCGGAAGTGACGTTTTGTCCCAGCGCCGGAAGCACCGGCCCTCCCTCCCACCCGCGCTCAGCCGAGAGGAGCGTGGAAGACCCGCCCCCTTCTCGAAGCCAGCCAATGGAGAGCGTCATACCCGCCCACCGGGAGGGGGCGCGTCCAATCGGGAGCGCGATGGCGGCGGCCGTGAAGGACCGCGAGGTGCTGCAGCGACTCAGCTTCCTGTTCCAGGTGGGCATGGGGCCGAGAGGTGCCCTATGGGGCGGGAGGGGGGCTATGGGGTGCTCTATGGGGCACAAGAGGTGTCCTATGGGGCGAGGGGGGGACTATGGGGTGCTCTATGGGGCACAAGAGGTGCCCTATGGGGCGGGGGGGGGCTATGGGGTGCTCTATGGGGCAGAAGAGGGGACTGTGGGGTGGGGCTATGGGGTGCTCTATAGGGCACGAGAGGGGCCCCATGGGGCGGGGGGGCCTAGGGGGTGCCCTATGGGGCACAAGAGGGGCCTATGGGGCAGTGAGGGGGGCTACGGGGTGCTCTATGGGGCACAAGAGGGGTCCCTATGGGGCAGTGGGGGGGAGGCTATGGGGAGCTCTATAGGGCAGGAGAGGGGCTATGGGGTGCTCAGTGGGGCACAAGAGGGGCCCTATGGGACAGTGGATGGGGCCTACAGGGTGCTCTATGGGGCACGAGAGGGCCCTATGGGACAGTGGATGGGGGGCTATGGGGTACTCTGTGGGGCACAAGGGGAGCCCTATGGTGGAGTGTGGGGGGATATGGGATGCTCTATGGCACAGTGGGGGGGGGGGCTATGGTGCACCCTATGGAGCAGAAGAGGGGTCCCTATGGGGCAGCAGTTGAGGGGGCCGTAGCCCTGTGTTGCCCCCCGCAGGCCGCGCACTGGGTGCTCCCGCACAGCCCTGCGCTCGCCCGCTTCTACTGCAGCATCCAGCGAGGGACCGCGCGCCGCCTCGTCCTGCGCCTGTGAGGAACGGGACAGGGGTGGGGGGGGCACCCTATAGGGTGCAGGGGCCCCATAGCAGGGACCCTGACCCCCCCCCCGGCAACCCCTCAGGGCCCCCTCGGTGAAGCGCACGGTGTGCCGCCGCTGCTGCTCTCTGCTGCTGCCCGGTGCTGGGGGCTGCCTGCGCCTGCGAGGTGGGTCTGGGGGCACCCCTTGGTGGTGGTGGGGGTCTGTGGATGGGAATGGGGGTGACCTGGACCCCCCCACCCCCGGATCCATCCCGCAGGCCGGGGGCAGCCCCGCATGGTGCTGCGCTGCCGGAGCTGCGGCCGCCACCGGCGCTACCTCTGCACGGAGCCACGCCCACTGGAGCAGGCCACGCCCCCAGGTGAGTGAGGGGCGGGGTTAAATCCATATAAGGGAAGGTGTGGGTGGGGCTAACAGCTGCTGTGACCTCCCAGGAGCCCCCCAATGAACCCTACCTGGCAACAGAGCGGCGACCTCTCTGACCAATCAGAACACACCGGTTGCAGAAATAAACCTCCCTTTATTCCATATATGGTATCAGCGTCACGGCACGGGGCGGGGCTAACACTCATCCTCTCCCAGCAGAGCAAAGGGATTGGCCGCGGTGCTGGTGGGAGGCGTGGCCTCCCCAAGCTCCGCCCCCTCCTCACTGTCACACTCTTCCTCCTCCGAGGTTGAGCCCTCCTCAGGGGGGGCCGAGCCCTGGACCCCCGGGTCCCCCCGCTCCTGCAGTGCCGCCAGCGCCGCCGTCTCTGGGTGCTGCTCCCACAGGTCTGGGGCACACACACACACACACACACACAGAGACCATGATTGGCCCCAGGAGCCACAAAACACCCCCCAAAACCTGATTCCAGGCCCCTCATTAGCTGAGACTGCCCCCCAGCCCGGAAGCGCCCATGAGGGTTTTTGGGGGGCACTCACCCTTCTGGGCAGCGTAGCCAGGGGGTCGCAGGCAGAGCCGGAGTCGCCCGTCAGCCGCCAGCCTTAGGATGCTGTTGGCTGCCCGGTACACATCGTTCCGAGCTGCCTTTGCTGTCTTGTAGCCTCGTTTCTCTGCCCATGCTGAGCAAAGACCACAAAAAACCCTCATTAACAACAAGAAACGAGCCCGATTTTTACTTAATTCACCCCAAAAGTCACCCACCTTCACAGATGTCCCAGGCTGTCCAGCCTCCTGCAGAACTGGGGGGCCGCAGCTGGAGGAGAGGTGGCAGTGGGAGGCGAGAAGCCAAGTACCCCACAGCAGAGTAGGGCTCCTGCAGCTGGGAGATGGGGTAGACACCAGCCAGGACCTTGGGGGCAATACAAAAAGGGCTTAACTTGGCGGGGGGAAATCAAGTGTGAGTGGTGGGCAATGGGGCTGGGACCCACCTGCAGAGCTGGGGGGGCCCGGGAGGGGAAGACGAGGCCGGGGCAGTCGCAGAGGCGGACGCGGGGGGTGAGGAAATGGGTCTGGAAGTAGCGGGTGCGGCCGGGGGCCCGGGACACGCTCACGGCGCTGCGGCCCACCAGGGCGTTCAGCACCGACGACTTGCCTGCGTTGGGGAGCCCTGCGGGAAGGGGGATCAGGACATGGCTCCCCCCCCTCCAGGATCAGTGCCCCCAGCCCATCCACCGCCATCAACCTCTCTAAGGACAAAGCTCCACCCGTTATGAGCATCCTAAATGAAGCCACGCCCCCTCATTAACCCCGCCCCCTGGCTGAACGCCACCCTCCCATTGGCCCACCTCCATTAAGCCCCGCCCCTCACCGACGCAGCCCAGGGTGAGGATGCCGTGGCGGTAGCGCTCCCACTGCCGAGGGGCCACCATGGCTCCGTCCTCGTCGCCGTCCTCCTCCTCTTCCTCCCCGCCATCTCCCACCTCTTCCTCCTCCTCCTCTTCCCCTCGTGCCGCCGCCGCTTCCGCCCGGTCCAGCCGTGCTCGCCAGCTGCTCAGGTCCACTGCAAAGCAACGGGGGGGATGGAGAAGCACCCAAGGGGACATAAGAAAACCCCAAACAGCACCCATGGGACATAGGGAACCTCTTCACCACCATCAAATGGGTGGCTAAGTGCACGCACCCCTTTCTCCCCCCCGCACCCAGCACCCATGGGTGCCCCGCTCACCTTCTCCCCCCACGATGCTCTCACAGGCCTCCAGCAGCTGCCGGGGTCCCACGGCCCGGCTCCAGCCTCCTCCCCTCCTCTGCCTCCGCTGCAGCCCTTTAGGGGGTCAAGAGAGAAAAGGGGGTGTGAGAACACCCTGGCCACCCCGTCACCCCCCCCACAAAACACTGGGTCCCTACCGGGCTCTGGGCCCCGTCGGGGGGCAGAGGTGAAGGGGACAACACGGGCAGTGGGGAAGCGGCGGCGCAGGAGGTGGCTCCAGGCAGTGGCCACGGCGGGGGACGTGAGGTCCACTTTGTTGAGGATGAGGATGAGCCCCTTGCCCAGCTCTCTGGTGATGTGGGTGGCCAGCGCGGGGGGCACGTTCAGGGCCTGCCATGGAGGGGGAAACACAGCGGTACTGAACCAGGGCCTGGATACAGGGGTGCCCCACCCCAAACGTGTGGGGGCTCCCCCCCTGCTCACCGGGTGCCGGGCATCAGTGATGAGCAGGATAACGTCGGACATCTCCAGCACCCGCCAAAGCTGCCGCCATGTCTAGAGAGGGGAACACTGTGACGCCGTTACTCATAACACCTCTGTGCCCCCCCCAGCACCCATGGGTGCCCCGCTCACCTCCAGGTTGTGCTCAAATGGGGCCACGTCCCCTCCATCATCCTCACCCTCGGGGCCCCCCTCCGCGGGGCGCTGGTTCTCCTGCAGGGCCCTCAGGAAGGCCCCGAAAGCTGCCTCCTCCCGCTCCCGCAGCTCCTCGGGGCTCATGGCGAAGCTCCAGGGCGGCCGTCGGGGGAAGTCCAGGCCTGGCACCGGGAAACCTGGCTCCCACCGGCTCCTCCGCGTGGGACCTTCCCCCCCAGACCGCGTCCCCTGCCTCTCCTCACCCCTGAACACCTCCCCCCGCCCACTGTCCTTGCCCCCCTCTCTGTGCTCCCAGCCCCTCACCGGGCCCGTAGATGAGGTCCGGGTCCAGCTCCAGGGCGCTCTCGGGCAGCAGCTCCACCAGCTCCTCCTGCGCCCGCCGCCGCCGCCGCGCCAGCGCCTCGGCCCGCGGCCCCCCCAGCTGCAGCCGGAACCGGCCGGGGTCATGGCGGCGGGGAGGGGGAACCGGATCCCCGGCTTCAGCACAGGCCGCATCGCTGCCGCGCTCCCGGCTCCCGCTGCGGCTGCCCGGGACCGAGCCCGGTGGGGCCGGGGCATCTGCGGGCGGGGAACCACGGTCAGGGGGGGCCGGGCCCCGTTCCCCCCCTCCGGACCCCGTTCACCCCCCCCCAGGCCCCGTTCCCCCCCTCCCGGAGCCCGCTCCGCTCCCCCCCGGCCCCTCTCCCCCCTCACCGCCCCGCCTCCGTTCCCGCCGGTCGCGGAGCTGCTGCTTCTTCCTCTTGGCGCTGAACGGCCGCTTGCGGGGCATGACGGGACGTGACGTCAAGGGCGGGGCCTTCCTCAGCCAATCACAGCGGGGAGAAGCAACACGATGGCTGCCAATGGGAGGAGGGGTCCACCGCCGGTGGGGAAGAACGAACCAATGGGAAGATGAGTTAGGACGGCGAACCAATTGGATGCAGAACAAACGAGGTTAGTAGGCGGGACTTTGCCGCCAACGAACCAATCGGAAGCAGCTCCATCCCGGGCCGGCGCGGCGGCGGACCGGAAGCGTGGCGGCGCTCTAGGCGGAGTGTCTGTGGGCGCGCAGGCGCAGTGCGCGGTGCCCGGCCATGCCGAAGGGAGCGCGGCCGGCGGCGGCCAAGCAGGAGGAATGGCGGGGGGACGGCGAGGGCCAAGGTGAGCACCGGGAGCGGGACCGGGAACGGGAACGGGACCGGGATGGAACCGGGATGGGGGGGGCACAGGGACCCCGCGGAGCTGAGGGAGGGGCGGGTGGGGGGGGGCGGAGGGGGAGGTGAGGCCTTGAGGGGGGGTGAGGCCTGGGGGGGGGGGGTGTTAACCCTTTGAGGGGGGCTATCCGTTTGGAATGGGGGTATTCCCGATTGGAATATGGGGGTATTCCCGCTTGGAATGGGGGTATTCCCCCTTGGAATATGGGGGTATTCCCACTTGGAATATGGGGGGGTATTCCCGCTTGGAATGGGGGTATTCCCGCTTGGAATATGGGGGTATTCCCGCTTGGAATTGGGGTATTCCCGTTTGGAATGGGGGTATTCCCGCTTGGAATGGGGGTTTTCCCGCTTGGAATATGGGGGTATTCCCCCTTGGAATGGGGGTATTCCCGTTTGGAATATGGGGGGGTATTCCCACTTGGAATGGGGGTATTTCCGCTTGGAATATGGGGGGGGGGATTAACTCCTTGGGGGGGTCCCGGCTGCACTGTTGGTGTGGTGGGAGGGGGACACCCGGGTCTTCTGGGACCTGTAGCCCATGGGGGGGGCTGTGAGTGCTTGAGCCCCCCCTTCCCTTCCCCTTCCCCCCCCCTTCCCTTCGCCCCCCCAGACCAGCCGGTGAAGAAGGGCAAGAAGGACCGGCGAGGCAAGAAGTCGGTGAGCACCAGACCCGCCCCCCTCTTCCTCCACCCCCTCTGCCCCCTGCATCGCCCCCCCCCGACCCTTCCCTTCCCTTTGTCCCCCAGTTCTTCGAGGAGCTGGTGGAGGAGGAGAAAGCAGCGCCTGCAGAGCCAGCCCCGGCCCCGGACAAGGAGGCAGCGCCCCAGCAGGTTCCATAATGACAGGGGCTGGCAGTGACTGAGCCCTAATGAATGGGGTGGGGATGGGGGTGAGGAAAGGGGGGGTTAATGAGGGGTTGTTCCCCCTCTCCCCCCCCCACCTTTCCCAGGCTTCCCGGAGGAAAAAGGAGCGGAGGAAAGAGCGGCGGCGGCCGGGAGCGGAGCCAGAGCCTGAGGAGCTGGAGCTGAGCCGGCGCCTGCAGGAGCTGGCGGCTGCTGACAGCGAGGAGGAGGAGGAGGAAGGTGAGGGCCAGCTCTGGGGTCACCCCCGTTCCCCGGAGCATCCCATTGGGAAGCGCTGGGCTGGGAGCTCCGTGATCCCCCATTGATTCCATCCCCGTCATCTCCCCCCACAGCTCCGGCACCCAGGAAAGGGGGGAGGAGGAGGAAGGTGAGCACATGGGGGAGGGATGCTGAAATAAGTGGGAAAATGAGGGAAAAGGAGCTAAAGTTGGACGGGGGGGAGGCGGAAAACTGGGATCCTTTGGAATGTTGGGAAGGAGAAGGAAACGCTTTGGGATCCCCCCCTCCCCCAGGGTGGCAACGTCTTTGCGGCGCTGAATCAAGAGCAGAGCGAGGAAGAGGAGGAGGAGGAAAAGAGAGAGGCACCGCGGCCTGGAAAGGGAAAAAGCCACAAGGTGGGGGCGGAGGCAGCGCTGCCCAAGGGGCACCCCAAAACCTGGGTTCTGCGTATCCCCAATTCCCGTTTCCGGTGCCTCCAGCAGGAGGAAGAGGAGAGTGAGAAGAAGAGGAAGAGCCGGAAGAACGAGAAAACCAAAAGCAAGCGGCAGGTGAAGGATGCTGTGGGGAGGGGGTAGCCCATGGAGGGGGGTGGGGAGGTCCCACACTTTGGCCTCTCAATCCCTGTTTCCCTGCAGGGAAAAGCTCTCAGTGAGGATGAGGCCGAAGGCTCCGATGAGAATACAAAGCCCAAAGGCAGGAAGGTGAGGGGGGGGTGTCCCTCTTTGAGGGGGGATAAGGGCCCACATCCCCCTTACATCGTGTCATGTCCGTGCCCCCCAGAACAAGTTCACAGCGCTGCGGGATGAGGATGAGGAAGATGAGGCTGAAGAGCCCCGGAAGAGCAACGACCCCGTGAGTGCCTTGGGGTGAGGGGAAGGAGGGAGCCTCACCCCCCCACCCAGATGCTGTGGGGCTGATGTGGGGCTGGGGGGATGTCCCCTGCTGCAGCCCGAGGAGGAGGAGGAGGGGAAGAAGGCAGAGCCTGATGCCCGCGTCAGCAAGAAGGAGAAGAAGAAGCTGAAGAAGCAGGTGAAGGGGGCGGAGCCTGGGTACCAAAGGGGCGGGGCTACGCGTGGATGGGGCGTGGTTTAAAGTTGATCACGCCCCCTTTCCTTTTTTCCCCCCCAAAAGATGGAGTACGAGCGCCAGGTGGCCACCATCAAGGCAGCGGCAGCCGCGGGCGAGGAGGACTTCTCCGTGTCCCAGGCCGAGCTCTCCTCGCGCCAGGCCATGCTGGAGAACGCCTCCGACATCAAGGTGGGCCCTAAAACTGCCCTAAATCACCCCAGAATCCACCCGGGGGGCGCTGCGTCCTGTGTCTGTATCCCCCCCCCGTGTTGAAGAAGTGGCTGCGCCCTTGTAATGGGAAATAAGGGGGATGGAATGGGCTACGGACATGGGGAAGGGGGCACCTGGGATGTGCCATTGGGAATGGGGGGAACTGGGTGAAACCATTATATTGGGGGAAAAGGGGGGTCTGGGTTGATAGAATGGGAAAGGGAAACTGGGTGGACTGGACCGTACCATTGCGATGGGGAAGGGGTGCGGGACCTGGAACACCCCCATTTTACTGGAGAAAAGAAGCCTTTTGGCCATGCCATTGCACTTGGGGGTGCTGGGCTGGTGGGAGGGGGAGTCAGAGGCCTGATTCCCCCCCATCCCTCCCTATCCCAGCTGGAGAAGTTCAGCATCTCTGCCCATGGCAAGGAGCTCTACGTCAACGCCGACCTCTACATCGTGGCCGGGCGCCGCTACGGCCTCGTGGGACCCAACGGGTGGGTGCCCCCCCCACTTAGGGTCTGCTTTGGGGGGGGGGGTGTTATGGGGGTCAATGGCAGCCTCAAAGCCCCCCTTTGCCACCAGCAAAGGGAAGACGACGCTGCTGAAGCACATCGCGAACCGGGCGCTGAGCATCCCCCCCAACATCGACGTGCTGCTCTGTGAGCAAGGTGGGTCTGGGGGGGGGGTGTGCTTCCCTGGCACCCCCAAAACGCCCCCCAAAACACACCAAAGCCACCCTGAAAACACTTCCAAAACACCCCAAGAACACCCCCCAAAACCACCCTGAAAACACCCCTAAAACACCACCAAAGCATCCCCAAAACACCCTGAAAGCCCAAAAAACACACCAAAAACACCCCCCAAACCACTCCAAGAAAAAAACAAAACACCTCTAAAACACCCCCCAAAAAACACTAAAACACCCTGAAAGCACCCCTGAAACACGTCAGAAACACACCAAAACACCCCCAAAAACACAGCAAAGCACCTGGAAAACACCCCCAAAAGCTCCCCAAAACACCTGCAAAACACCCCTAAAACACCAAAAAAACGCTCCCAAAACACACCAAGAACACCCCTAAAACACCTTATAAAACACCGCAAAACACTGCCAAAACCCCCCCAAACCCCCCCTCGGTGTCCCCAGAGGTGGTGGCCGACGACACCCCCGCGGTGCAGGCGGTGCTCAAGGCCGACACCAAACGGCTCCGGCTGCTGGAGGAGGAGAAGCGGCTGCAGGCGCTGCTGGAGCGCGGGGAGGACGCCGCCGCCGAGCGCCTCGAGAAGGTACCGGCACCCCTTGGGGGACACTGGGATGTGGGGGGGTCACGCTATGGGCCCCCCTTTGGGTCTCACTGACCCCAATGCAGGTGTATGAGGAGCTCAGAGCCATCGGCGCGGCCGCGGCGGAGGCCAAGGCCCGGCGCATCCTGGCCGGGCTGGGTTTCAACCCCGAGATGCAGAACAGAGCCACCAGGAAGTTCTCCGGGGGGTGGCGGATGAGGGTGTCCCTGGCGCGGTGAGTGACGGTGCGGGGGGGGCGTTGTTGGGGGCCACAAACACCCCCAGACCTCATCCATCAATGGTGCTGGTGGTGTCCCCTCAGTGCCTTGTTCATGGAGCCGACGCTGTTGATGCTGGATGAGCCCACCAACCACCTGGACCTCAACGCTGTCATCTGGCTCAATAAGTGAGAACGAGGGTTAAAAAGGGGGTGAGATGGGGACACACACAAAAGGGGGGGTCCTCACAAGATCCCTTCTCTGTTTGTCCCTCTCTTTTGGTCCCAGTTACCTGCAGACATGGAAGAAGACGCTGCTGGTGGTGTCCCACGACCAAGGCTTCCTCGATGACGTCTGCACCGACATCATCCACCTGGATGCCCAGCGCCTCTTCTACTACCGGGGCAACTACAGTGTGTACGGGGGCAAATAAGGGGGGGTCTGGGGCAGTAAAAGGGGGGTAATTACCCCTACACCCCCCCCCCCCGCAGTGACCTTCAAGAAGATGTACCAGCAGAAGCAGAAGGAGCTGCTCAAGCAGTTCGAGAAGCAGGAGAAGAAGCTGCGGGACCTCAAAGCCGGGGGCAAGTCCACCAAGCAGGCGGTGAGTGTGGGTGTGTGTGGGGGGGAGGTCCCTCTGGGATTCGATTCCTTTGGGATGCCCTCCTGATCTCACTGTGTGGGGCTGGATTCCTGCATGGAGGGGTCCTCCGAAGGGGTTTCCTGGTGGATCCATGCGGTTCCCGATGGGATCCTCCTCAGGAGAAGCAGACCAAGGAGGCGCTGACGCGGAAGCAGCAGAAGTGCCGGCGCCGGACGGCGGACGAGGAGGCAGCCGAGGCCCCGGAGCTGCTCAAGAGGCCCCGGGAATACACCGTGCGCTTCACCTTCCCCAACCCGCCCCCCCTGAGCCCCCCCATCCTCGGCCTCCACGGTACCGGCACTTGGGGGACGGCTATGGGGTGGTTGTGGGGGGGGGTTGGTGGGGTCAGGATCCCCCACAACCCCTCATCCTCCTCCACGTCCAGGCGTTGATTTTGGCTACGAGGGGCAGGAGCTGCTGTTCCGTAACCTGGACTTCGGCATTGACATGGACTCGAGGGGTGAGACCCTACGTAGACAATGCCAACAAATGAGGGGGTGCAGGAGACCCGGCTCATCCGGACACCCCCTTTTCCTCTGTATCCCACCCCAGTTTGCATCGTGGGCCCCAATGGCGTGGGGAAGAGCACGCTGCTGCAGCTGCTGACCGGGCAGCTCACCCCGGTACGGACACTCCCCCCCCCCTCATTCTGTAAAGGGATGGGGGCACCCTGCGATAACCCCCACAAGGAGGGGCTTGGGGGTGTCCCCCCCCCATTATAACAATGGCATTGTCCTGCAGACACGGGGGCAGATGCGGAGGAACCATCGGCTGGTGAGTGCGGAGGCGTGGCCCGATTGGTTGTGGGCGGAGCATTGGGGTGGGGGGCGTGTCCTGAGGGTGACCCCGCCCCGCCCCCCCCCCCGCAGAAAGTGGGGTTCTTCAACCAGCAAGCGGCCGAGCAGCTGCGCCTGGAGGAGACGGCGGCCGAGTACCTGCAGCGGGGCTTCAACCTCCCGCACCAGGACGCCCGCAAGTGCCTGGGGCGCTTCGGGCTGGAGGGCCACGCACACACGCTGCAGATCGCCAAGCTCTCCGGTGGGCATGAATGGGCGGTGTGGGAAAGGAGGCGTGGCTTCCTAAAGGCGGGAGCCAATAGGGGGAAGGACGGGGAGGGGCTCAGCCAATGGGAGGCGAGCGGCTGAGCCCCGCCCCTCGCGCAGGCGGGCAGAAGGCGCGGGTGGTGTTCGCGGAGCTGGCGTGCCGCGAGCCCGACGTCCTCATCCTGGTGAGTGAGGGGGGCGGAGCCAGCGGGGAGGGGGCGTGGCCAAGCGCTGAGCCTCCGCCCCTTTTTCCCACGGCAGGATGAGCCCACCAACAACCTGGACATCGAGTCCATTGATGCCTTGGCCGACGCCATCAATGACTACAAAGGAGGTGAGAGGGGAGAAACGGGGTGGGGGGGTGGTGACGCCAGCATGACGTCGGCATGACGCCGGCATGACGTCACCGCACAGCCGTCATCGTGGTGAGCCACGACGCGCGGCTGATCACGGAGACGAGCTGCCAGCTGTGGGTGGTGGAGGAGCAGGGCCTCAGCCAGATCGACGGCGACTTCGAGGACTACAAACGGGAGGTGCTGGAGGCGCTGGGAGAGGTCATGATCCACCGGCCCCGGGAGTGAGGCTGCTTGTGGGGAGATGTGGGGCAGGGACAGTGCTGCCCCCCAACCCACCCCCGCAATAAAGAGACGGGTGCAAAGCGGCTGTGCAGTGACTGCGGGTGCGTCAGTAGGTTCCAGAGTGAACCAGTGGGTTCAGGGACCCCTCGATGGCTCCGTTGTGCCCCCTAAGTGCCCCTCTTGTGACCTCGCTCAAGTGTCCTCGTGCCCCCCAGGTGTGCTCTAAGTGACCTCCAAGAGTCCCTGTTGTGGTCCCTTAATAGGCCCCACTGTGCCCCCCAAGTGGCCCTGTTGTGCCCAAGTGTCCTCATTGTGCCCCCCAAGTGGGCTCCAAGTGTCCCTGTTGTGACCCCTTAATAGGCTCCATTGTGCCGCCCAAGTCGCCCTATTGTGCCCCCTAAGTGGGCTCTAAGTGACCTCCAAGTGCCCCTGTTCTGACCCCTTAATAGGGGCCACTGTGCCCCCCTACTGGCCCTACTGTGCCCATCAAGTGTCCACATTGTGACCCCATAATAGGCTCCGTTGTGCCCCCCAAGTGGGCTCTATTTGAACTCTGCCCCCACCGTGCCCCCCAAGTGACCACATGACCAGGCCCGCGGCCCCGCCCCTTTTTCCACCATCGGTTTATTATTAATGTACAAAATATACAAAAGGGGGGAGGGGCCCCGCGCCGCCCCTCCCCCACCCAATGTTTTCACAGAAAACAGCTTCCGGCGCAGCCCCTCCCCCACCCCCTTCACCCCTCCCCCACACCCCAAGCGGCGCAGCCCCTCCCCCCATCGGCGGCGGCGCAAGGCGGGGGGGGAACCTTTGGGGTGTCAATGGCACCCAAAGGGGGTCGTTGTGCCCCCCCGGGGGGTATTTACACCCTGGGGGGTATTTAGTGTATGGGGGCAGGGGGGTACACACAGAAGGGGGGTGTAAATGGGGGGGGAAGGGAGTTACACCAAGGGGGGGCCGGCCCCCCTGTAGGGAAGGATTTACACCCCCCCACTGTGGGTAAATGTGCCCCATAAGTGGGGGTTTGTGCCCCCTAAGCTGGTATTGACACCCCACAGGTGGGGGCTTACACCCCTGGGGGGAGTGAGGTGGGGAGTTAAAATCTCTGCCCCATAAGTGGGTGTTTAAGCCTCAGAGGTGGGGATCTCTGCCCCATAAGTGGGTATTTACACCCTGGGGGGGGGGGGTATTTTTCCCCCATACGTGCCCCATGGGTGTATATTTACAACCCAAAATGGGTATTTCTACCCCCTAAGTGGGTTTTAGCACCCCACAGAGGGGTATTTACACCCGGGGGGGAGCTATTTACACCCCTTAGTGGGTATTTACACCCTGAGGGGGGGGTCCCTCTGCCCCACAGGCGAGTATTTACACCCCATGAAGGGGGGATGGAGACCACAGGGAGGGCATTTCCGCCCCATAGCTAGGTGCCTGCACCCCACAGGTGCCCATTTCCACCTGGAGGAGGGTTCTTTCTGCCCCCTAAGTGGGTATTTACACCCGGGGGGGGGGAACTCCACCCCATAAGTGGGTACTAACACCCCTTATGGGGGTATTAACACCCCATAGTGAGCACTAACACCCCATAGGTGGGCACTAACACCCCACAGGTGGACACTAACACCTCTTAGGGAGATATTAACACCCCCAGGGGGATCACCCTGCCCCACCACAGATGGGCATCAACACCCCACAAAAGGGCACTAACACCCCTTAGGGGGCACTAACACCCCTTAGGGGGCGTTAACACCCTCAGGGGGATCACCCTGCCCCACAGATGGGAATCAACACCCCATAGGTGAGCACTAACACCCTTTAGGGGGGTATTAACACCCTTAGGGGGATCACCCTGCCCCACAGAAGAGCACTAACACCCCGCAAGCGGCCATTAACACCCACAGCTCCCCCTTCTCCCCCCCCCCAGGAGACCATTCCTACCCCATCACCGCCACTTTTCACCCCATAGGTGCTCAGTACCCCTTGGAGGGGATTGGGGGGGGGGGGGCATCTGACACCAATGGGGGCGAGGGGGGCATCACAAGAGGCCTCATAGAAGCCATAAACGTGGTGGCTGCGGCGTGAGAGGGGGAGGAGGAGGAGGAGGAAGGGCCCTGGGGTGGCTATGGGGGGGCTATGGGGCGGGGTGGTAGAAGGCACACTTGTTCTCGTACCTGCAGCTGCCCTTGAGCAGGAAGTGGCGGCAGACGGCGCGGCTGGACCGGGCTGCGTGAGACAAGAGGGGGGGCACGGGGGGGGGCATCAGGGACCAGCCCCACGGCGGCCCCGGCCCCACGGCGGCAGCGCTGGAAGGGGTGGGGTGGGTTGACAGGGGTGTGGGGCAGCAATGGAAAGCCCCATTGGGGAAGGAAGAGGGATGCCCTATAGATACAGAGGGGATGCAATGGTGGAACCCCATAAGGCTTTGAGCTGTGCCCTATGGGGGGGTGATGCTGAGGCCTCTATGGGGTGGCTGGGAGCCCCATAGAGTGGTAGTGGAGCTGCGGTGGCCCATTGGGGCTGAGCCGCTATGGGGCAGATGGGAGCCCCACAGGGCTCTTGTCTCTATCCTATAGGTTGCTGCTGGGGGTGGCTGGGAGCCCCACAGCGCACCTATCCCTGCCCTATAGCCCAATGCTGGAGTTGCGCCTGCTATGGGACAGCTGTAGAGCCCCATGGCGCATTTCTCTGCCCTATAGCCTGGTGGTGCTGCGTTCTCTATGGGGCAGATGCGAGCCCCACAGCGCCCTGACTTCTTCCCTTATAGCCTGGTGCTGGACCTGCTGCGTCCCATATGGGGTGGCTGTAGGCCCCACAGCACCCCTATCCCTGCCCTATAGCCTGATGGTGCCCAAGCCCAATGGGGCTGCCCTACAGTGGGGCAGACGTTGAGACCCAAAGCACCCCTCTCTCTGCCCCATAGACTGGCAACGGGGCTGTGCTGGTCCCTGTGCAAGGCTATGGGGCAGCCCCATAGATCCTGCCCTTCCTAGAGCCAGGTTTAACTCCCAGCGTGCCCTGCGGCTCTATGGGGCAGAGGCCGGGGGGGGGTCTCCCCTCTCTCTGCCCCCCCCTCTCTCCCTGCCCTAGAGCCCCATTGGGGGCCGGCGCCAATCGGGGCCCCTGCCCCATGGCCCGGGGGGCTCCAGGGGGTGATGGGGAGGGGGGGGCTCCCCCCCCCGCCACCGGGGCAGGAAAGGGGGGGGGGGGGGGGGCGGAGGGGAGGGGGCACCCACAGGCCCCTCCCAGCCAGGGCCGGGGCCGGGCCCCCCCCATAACCAAGCCCCTCCCCCGCCCCCCCCCCACATTTACCTCCTGCGTGGCCGCGGGGGTGCTCTCCAGGGTGGGCTCTGCCGTGCTCGCCGGGGGGGCCCCCCCTCGCGCCCCCCCCGCCCCCACTCGGGGGGGGGCCCCCGTTGCGCCCCCCCCCACCCCCTCCTCCTCCTCGGCACCGGTACGGGGGGGGCGGGGGGGGCTCGCCCCCACTGCGCCCGCGGGGGCGGTGGAAGGGGGGCCCCCCCCCGCGCATGCCCCCTCCCCCTCCCCCGCCGTGGGGGCCCCCCCCGCGCATCGCCCCTCCCCCTCCCCCAGCTTCGGGGGGGTCCCAGAAGTCGCCGCCGCGTTGAGGAGGGGGTGGGGGAGGGGGCGGCCCCAGCAGCCGGGGGCCACCCCCGGGCATCCCCCCCCCAGGGCCTGGGGGCATCCCCGGGCCCCCCCCGCCACCGCCGTGGGGTCCTGCAGGGAGAGAGAGGAGAGAGGAGGGTGAGGGGGGGGTTATGGGGTGACCCCCCCCCAAGTGTTATGGGATCGTCCATCCCCCCCATTGTCCCCTATGGGGGCACTTACCAGGCATGGGCCCCCCCGGGGGGAAGTGCTGCATGGCCTTGGGGCCTGGTGGGAAGCCATTGGCCATGGGGCCGGGGCCCAGCAATCCGTGGGGCACTGGAGGGGAGGGACAGAAAGGGGGTGGCGTTAGGATAGTGGGGGAGCCAAACCACCCCCAAATTGCTCCTTATGGCCCTCCCACAAGTTGGGGACAAAGGTGGTGCCCCCTCCAATTGTCACCCTAAAGGACATGGGGTGCACAGCAGCATCCGGTGTCCCCATTGTGTCCCCAAGCCAAAGGCATTCCCATATCCCTCCTGTGTCCCCATCTGTGTCCCTAAGCCAAACACACCCCAATGTCCATGCTGCCATAGGTGTCAGTGCTCCCAACACATCCCCATCGTGTCCCTAAGCCAAAAGTATCCCTGTATCCCTAAAGCAAAGGCACCCCTGTATCCCTAAGCCAAAGGCATCCCTGTATCCCTAAGCCAAAAGCACCCCTGTATCCCTAAACCAAAAGCATCCCTGTATCCCTAAGACAAAGGCACCCCTGTAGCCCTAAGCCAAAGGCACCCCTGTATCCCTGATGGAACGAGGACCAGTGTTCCCATTGCTTCCCCAAGCCCAATGCATCCCACTGCCCATGCTAGGGCAGTGTTCCCATCACATCCACCATCTCCCTCACCCCCGCCCCCCCGGCATTCCCGATGTTCCCAACGTTCCCGCTCACCTCCGCCGGGCCCCGGTGCCTGCAGGTTCCCCAGGAGATGCTTGATCTTGTCTGAGTAATCTGGCTGCTTGAGCAGCTCCTCGGCCTTGTGGGTGCTGGGACCACCCTGGGGGGGCACACACAGAGAGAGATTGAGGCTCAGTGGGGGGGTCCCACGTGTCCCGCATCCCTGGATCCCTATGGAACGGGGTGTGGATACCATGATGGAGCTCAGGATCTCCTGCATGTTGATGCCTGCGCCTGGGGCCGGGCCCTGGGGGCTCTTCCCGGCCCCGACGCTTCCCATCAGGTTGGCCAGGACGGGCGGGAGCTTGGCGCCGGCCTCCGGGGATGGGGAGGCTGCTCCCGGGTCCAATCCATCGGGATAAGGCCCTTCCTCGCTGGAGCAGTCCTGGGGAGGGGGCGAGGAGAGGTGGGAATTGGGGGAATGGGGGGCGGTTGGAGGGGAGAGGCTGGGGGTTGGCTGGAGCTGGGCTTACCTCATCCAAAGGGATCAGCTTGGGAGGAAGCGGCTCGTAGGATTCGGGATCGGGCTCGTGGGGGCTGTCGGGAACACTGCGGGGGAAAAGGGGTTGGTGGATCACGGGGATCCTTTGGGATCAGGGACACCCAATGGCCGCCCCCCAACCCTACAGCCTCAAATCCCAAAGGCTTTGGATCCCCAGGGATCCTGGGGCCACCCAGCTCTGGATCCACGGGGATCTGAGCCCCGCACACCCCGGGGCACCAGATGCCTCCATGTGCCCGATCCCAACGCTGCTGAGTGGATCCAGAGGACGTGGATTGATCCTAAGGGATCCCAGCTCCATCCCCCAAGCCCCCCCATCACCTCCACACCGGAGAGGAACAACCCCATCGATGTCAGGAATGGGATCCAGACCTGTGACCCAAGGGGCATGATCCCATGGGATCCACTCACCTCTCCTTGGAGAGGAAGAGCTCCTGCAGGATCCCCTTCTCCCTCTCGGCCTGGGTGAAGCGCTCCCGGCTCCCGCTGCCCGGCACCACGAGGGGAGCCGGGAGATCCAGGAGCTTGGGGTACATCCAGGGCACCTTCTCCTCCATGGCATCGTGGCTCAGGCGCCGCGCCGTCTCGAAGGCCTGCCGGTCCTTCAGCATCTCCCGCTTGGCCGCTTCCCCGAAGTCCTTGATCTTGTTCACGTTCACTATCCCGGCAATGGGAATGGGAACGGGAATGTCACCTCGGGAACAGGCCGGGAACGCCCCGCCATGCACAGGGAAGGGCCTGGACCCACCTCGCTCCGTCTCATCCAGCTCAAAGTAGAAGTATTCCCGGAGCTTCCCCTCCTCCGGCCAGCTCACCGTCTTCTTCTTGCGGCCCTTCTTGGTGAGCTGCCCGCTTTCCAGAGGGTTTTCCATGCTTTTGGAATCACCGCTCGCCTCCGAGGAGCCTGTGCGGGGAGGACAGGACCAGGAAGGGCTCAGCACCCTCTTCACCCCCTCTTTTCACCCCATGGTTTTCCCATTCCATCCTCCCCACTCACAGGTCTCCATCGGCTCCGGCACTTCCACAGCCGGCACCGGCGTTCCAGGGCGATCCGGATCCATGGGCTCCGAGGCCGGGGTGGGCTCCGGGGACGAGGGTTTGGTGGAGGTGGCTTCAGGAGCGGCCTTCCCCTCGAAGGGGCTGGGCTGTGGGGAGAGAGCAGGGTAAGCAAGAGCCCCCGGTACCCCGGGGAAAACCACCCCCTCCCCCCGGTATCCCAGGAAAACCCCTCCGGTATCCCAGGAAAAGCCCCCCATTATCCCAAGAAAACCCCCCCGTTATCCCAAGAAAAGCCTCCCCATTAGACCAAGAAAACCCCTCCGTTATCCCAAGAAAAGCCTCCCCATTATCCCAGGAAAAGCCCCCCATTATCCCAGGAAAAGCCCCCCATTATCCCAGGAAAAGCCCCCCATTATCCCATATACCTTGGCTGCGGTGGGGGACAAAACCTTCTTCTTCTTCTTGATCTTGATGCCGGGGATGGGAGCGGAGTTGAGGGCATCCAGGAAGCCGAGGCCCTCCATGGCTGTGGGGACAAGGGGGGAGGCGATGTCACCCCAAAGCCAACCCCCCCCCCCACCACCACCCAGCACCCATGGGTGCCCCCCACCCAGCACCCAGGGGGGCTCGGGGTCGCCCACACTCACGCTGGGGGGGGATGATCTTGACTTTGATCTCCTTGGTGGCGTTGGGGGCCGTGTTCAGGGGCTTGTATTTCTTCTCTGCGGGGGGAGCATCGCCCATGGCCGAGGAGAGGCTGGGGGGGAGCAGAGAAGGGGTGAGGAGGGACCCCAAAACCAGCCCTGAGCACCCCAAAACCAGGCCTGAGCATCCTAAAACCAGGCCTGAGCACCCTAAAGCCAGCCCTGAGCACCCTAAAACCAGCCCTGAGCACCTAAAACCAGGCCTGAGCATCCTAAATCCAGCCCTGAGCATCCAAAACCCGCCCTGAGCACCCCAAAACCAGCTGATACCCCCAAACCAGCTCTGAGTATCCAAAACCTGCCCTGTGCACCCCAAAACCAACCTGAGCACCTCAAAACCAACTCTGAGCACCCCAAAACAAGCCCTGAGCACCCCAAACCCACCATTTGGACCCCCCAAAGATACCCCAAAGCCCCCCCAGACTCACTTTTGCCTCTTGATGGGCATCGGTTTCAGGTTGTATTTATCAGTGCTGGAAGCAGAGTTCATTTTCTTCAAGGGCACTAACGAAGGTGTCTCCATCTCCAGCCCTGTACGGGGGGGAACAGGGTCAGTGGGGATGCTGCAAAGTGGGGCATAACCCCCCAAATTCCCCCTCAAACCGCCCCAAGAGGCCGCAATTCCCTTGGGAATTACCAGTGGAGCGGAACTTGGCGTGGCTGGGCGCTGTGGTCCGCAGGGATTTGGGTTTCTCCCGTTTCTTCTCAGGCATCTCCTCGCTTTTCGCTTCAGCTTTGGCCTCTTGGGGCTTCTCCTGGGCAGGGGTTTTGCTTTTGCTTTCCTCTTTCCGCTTCTTTTTATCCCGTTCTGGAGCAAATCCAATGGGAAAGAGTGAGATGGAGGAGTTGGAATGGGGGGGGGGGGTAAAGGGGGTGCTGGGGGGGTGCTCACCACTGGGCTGGGCACTGCTCTGGGACCGGATGACACCCATCCAGTCACTGACCAGGATGGAGGCGAGGCGGCGCAGTTCTGTGGGGACAGGGAAGAGCAGGTTAAAGAGGGGTAAATGGGGGTTAAAGGGGTTAAGTGGTGCGAATGGGAGTTAAAGGGGTGCAAACGGCAGTTAAAGGGGTGCAAATGGGAGTTAAAGGAGGCAAATGGGGGTTAAAGGGGTGCAAATGGGGGTAAATGGGAGTTAAGGGAGGCAAATGGGTGCAAATGGGAGTTATAGCAGTTAAAGGGGGGTAAATGGGCATTAAAGGGGCATTAAAGGGGGGGAAATGGGAGTTAAAGGGGTTAAAGTGGGTAAATGGGACTTAAAGGGGTGTAAATGGGGGTTTTGGGGGGTCTATGGGGGTGCTCACCTTCATCATCACTTGACTTGCTGAGCTGCTTCACCAGCTTGGCTGTGTTGTTCTGCAGGTGGAGATGGGGGTGAGTGGCAGAGCAAGGGCCAAAGGGACCCGCAAAAGGATCCCAAAAGGCACCAAAAGGGATTCAAAGGGACCCAAAAGGCACCCAGGGACCATAAAGCCACCCCAGAGGGACAAAAAGGCACCCAAAGGGACCAAAAAGGCACCCAAAGGGATCCAAAAGGCACCCAAAGGGATCCAAAAGGCACCCAAAGGGATCCAAAAGGCACCCAAAGGGATCCAAAAGGCACCCAAAGGGATCCAAAAGGCACCCAAAGGGATCCTAAAAGCACCTACAAAAGGGACCTAAAAGGCACCCAAAGGGATCCAAAAGGTACCTACAAAATGATCCAAAAGGCACCCAAAAAGGGATATAAAAAGGACCCAAAGGGAACCAGAAGGCACCTAAAAGGGATGCAAAAAGGGACCCAAAAGCCACCCAAAGGGCCCCCAGAAGTCACCAAAGGGCAGGCAAAGGGACCCAAAAGGCACCCAAAGGGATCACAAAGCCACCCCAGGGGACCCAAAAGGCACCCAAAGGCCACCAGACCTGTTTGAGGTGGTCCACAGTGAGAGGCAGGTGCTGCAGGGTGAGCAGGATCTGCTGCAGGAAGGGGACGTTGTTGGAGGCTTTGGAGCTGGTGAGCCAAGTATTGAGCAGTTTGTACCCCCCGATGCGGATGAACCTATGGAAAAAGGGGGAAAATCCTTCAGGATCCGGCCGGGAATGGGGTGTCCTGACCCTTTGGGTGCACTCCCATTGCTCTTACTTGGCCAGGATGTCCTGGGCACGGGTCTGCAGCAGGATGTTCAGGTAGATGCAGCGGCTCACCAGCTTCTGCGAGTCTTTCATCAGGCTGAAGGGGAGGGGGGAAAGAGGGGTCAGCCCCCCCCGGTGACAGTGACACGGGGGGGACATAGGGGGACATGGGGGGGGGGACTCACTTGAAGATCTTGGTGATGCCCTCCATGCTCTTGACCTCGCCATCGCGGCCCAGGAAGCAATCCAAGCCCTTGAGGAGCTCCTTGGGGTCGATGGGGCCCGAGCCCATGGCAGGAGAGCCCTGGAGGGGGGAGAAACAACAGAGGGGGGGTTAAGACAGCAGTGACCCCCCCCCAATTCTCCCCCCTTTAACCCTTGTCCATCCCCCCCCTTCTGACACAGTGACAACACCAAAGAAGGGGGTATCACCCCCCACAAGCAAGGGGGTCACCCCTATGGAGGTGACAGTGGCCCCCATTCAGGGCATCGCCACCCCTAGGGATGGCATCAGGTCAGTACCAGGGGATGGACCCCCCCATGCTCATTATGGGGGGGGGGCAGCACCCCCAGGTTTAATCAGCCCCCGAAGGGGTAATTAACGGTCGGTGCTTAATGAAGGGGGAGCAACACAAGGACAGGGACGCAAGGCTGGGGGGGGAAGGAGCGGCGCCGGCGCAAGACTTGGGGGTGCCCCCACCACAGCATCATCAGCATCACCTCATCCATGTAATTAATGACTCCTCCACCTATTAATGACCAAGGCACTAATTAGCACCCCCCACACACCCTGGTAATGACCCAGCCCCAGGGGGGTGTTGAGGGGGTCATCCCATTGACGTCAAGCAGCTGCTTAATGAGAAGCTGCTCCGGGTTCATTAAGTTCCTTAAGCCTGGCTTAGTTAATGAGGACAGAGGTGGAGCTGGCCTGGATTGGGGGGGCCACCCGTGTAGCCCCCATTTAATCCTTAAGGAATGAGCTGGGGCTTCCTTAGTCCAGGCTGGTTAAAGGATACAGCAGCAGAGCCCCCCCCATTTGGAGGGGTATTTTGGGGGGGTGCTGAGCCAGGTACAGGCTGAGCCTCTGTGAAGACACAAGAGCAGGTTAAAAGGAGCAGGAACCCCCACCAAACGCCCCCCCCCAATCCCCCTATAACTCTTAATTGGGGGTAATTCATTAACCCCAAAGGCTGCTTAAAGCACCAAAGGCCTTTGTAACCTTTGACCTCCCCATGAAAGGAGCCAATCTATGGAGGGGGGGGACAGGACATGGGAGGTCCCAAAGGACAAGGGGAGGCCCAGCCATGGCTTTGTACCCACTCCTTAAGGCTTTGGGGGCTCCCCCCCTGCTTTGGGGGGGTCACACAGCAGCAAACACTGACTCCAAAGGCACCAGCATGGGGTGAAAGGGAGCCCAACACACACTGAGCCCCCCAAAGGGGGGTAAATCCCACCCCCAAAGAGGGGGGCACCGTGGCCTGGTCCAACTCTATCAGCAACCCTGCCCCCCCATTGCCATCATTATGGTTTGAACCCCCCTAAATGCTGGATTTTGGGGGCAAAACCCCCATTTCTCAGAGGACGGAGGTCATGCAGACCCCAAAAGCACGAGGGGGGGGGGAGGCAGCCCACTGTGCCCCCCCCCCAAAGGGTAATGCTATCACTGGGGAGCACATTGGGGAGGAAAAGGCTGTACCCCCGGGCTCAGATCTGGGGGGAAATGCTCCAAAATGCTTCATTTTGTGCCTAAAAATGTCAAATTTGATGGAATTTTCTCTGGTTTTAACCAAAAAGCTTTGGATTCGGGTGCATGGTTGGTTGGGGCAGGGAGGGGAGGGCTGAACCCAGTGCAGCAGCCGCATGCACCGGGACAGGGCCCAAAAGGAGGGATCTGGGGGGGGGTATTCCCAGTTAAAGCCTGGATTCAAAGATGAAGCGGGTGAAATGGAATCAGGACCAAAAAGGGGGATTTTGGTTGCTTACCCGCTTGGTGCTGCTCTTCCCCTGCCTTTTGTCTGTTCCTAAAGCCCGCAGCACCTCCACGCTGCCAAGGGGGCAAGGTCATGGGAAAACGGGCTAAAAGTGAGGAGTTTGGGGGTGCGCCCCCCCAAAAAGGGCTCTTTTTTGGGGGGGGTCAAGCCCAGTGATAGCATTCCCCTGTCACGATAAAGGCAAGGTTATCAGTTGCTCGCCAACGCCGTTTCCACTCCCTTCCCCCCCTTCCAAGCAACACACAGAGAGAACGAACCAAAAACCCCTCAAATCCAGCCCAAATCCCATGGGGAGTGCTCGGAACCAACAGGAAAAGGGGGGATCATCGAGAAATCAATGGCAAATCCTGCTTTTTTTAAGGAGAAAAAGGGGGGTTTTGGGCACAACCTCCAAGAGAAGCAGTGCCTGCAAGGTCCTACTGTGCACAGCACCAGGGTCCTGCGGATGAAAGCTGGGGGGGGGGGGGGGTTAAAGCAGGGTTTAAGGGAATAGGATTGGGATAAATGGAAGGAAAAGGGGGGGAATGAAGGGAAAAGGATGGATAAGGGGGGAGTGAAGGTCTGGGGGGGCCCTGGCCGGTGGCGCGGTGGGAGGGGTTTGGGCGGTTGCATCAGCCAGGGCCGGCGGCGAGGCCCCGGCGCCATCTTAGGAGCCAAAAACAACCAAATAGGGGGGGGTTGGGGAAAAAGGGGGGGAACACACATTAACAGCAATACCCCGACCCCCCCCCATCGCCCACACCACGGCCGCCAAGTCAACCACAGCACCACCCCCCCATTCATTAAAGACTGGGGACCCCCCCCAAAAAAGACTGGTATTAAATGGGGGTTCAGAGCCCCACCCCCGACCTGTAATGGAATAAATCGCTATGAAATGAATCAATAAAGGTGGGGGGGGAAGGGGAAGGGAACAAAGGAGTTAAAGACAAAGGCAAAGACAAAGAGCGGGCAGCAGCCGCGCCATCTTGGCCCTCACCCGGAGCTGCCTTTATGGGGGGGGGGGGGGGGGTTGGATTTAAGGGTGTTTTTTAAGCAACCTCGTTCTTTTTTGCTTGAAAAAAGCAGGATTTTGGGTCCGGCTACACCTGCCTGAGCTTTATTGCTACATTGCACCCCCCCCTCCCGGCACCATTTAACCACGTTTTAACCGTCCCGTCCAGTCCCCCCCCCCAACACGCGCTCTCCCCTTTCTCTCTGCGCAAAACCACTCCTAAAATGGCACCTAAAAAACACAAAGAAATAAGAAAATAAATCAATTTTTGAGCATCACCGCTCCCCCCCCCAACCCCCACCCCCCCTCCGCAATCTTTATGCGCAGATTGCTCGAGCCCCACCAATAAACCCCTTTTTGGGGGCTTTCGGAGCAATTTCGGGGGGGTAGGGGTCGGTTTGGGAACCCGGTAAAGCCCGCATCGGTTGAAACCTCTTTGGCCAAGCGTCCTCCAACACCTTCCTCCCGTTCTTTATGCTCGTTTTAGGGTGGTTTTGGGGGGTTGGGGTCTATTTTAAGAGGGGGGTTGAGCTGGTTGGAAATTCAACACTTACTATCCAATTATTTTGCTCGCCGACAGCGCTTCAAGGTTTGGATTTAGGCATTGGTGGGTGGTCAGAGCCAAAAAAGAGCTGCATTGGGCTGGGTCATGGCTGGAAAAAAGGCAGCTTTTGAGCTGCGGAACAGAAGGAGGGGGGTTTGGGGGGGGGGGGGTCCCTACGAGGGTGGCTTTTGTCGCGTTAAATGGTGGCAAAAAGGAACAGGATGAAAAAGCCTGCGAAAAAAATCGGAAAAATCAGGGAGTTTTGGCTGTTTCCCTTTGGATTTTGGGGAAGAGGGGAAAGAAGAAAGGGGGGTTATGTTTCTAAGTGGCAGTTTCCTTCAGGTTTGCAACGGCTTCCCAAGGGCGGTCCAAAGGACGGAGACTGCGATGGCGGCTCTTCCACGGCACCGGGCGGGAAGTTGGGAAGAGGGGAAAGGGAAAGGGGAAGCGAGCTTTTTCCTCCCCTTTTTTTGTTGTTTTGTTGCAGTTGTTGTTGTATATTAGAGATTTTATATATTTTGTTTTTGTTTTTTTTTGTTTGTTTTGTTTTTGTTTTTGTGTGTTTTGTTTTGTTTTCTCGTGGTAAAGGCGCCGGCGTCTTTCCAGAGCAACCGAACCTGGAGCGGGGAAAAGGAGAAACAAAAAAACAACAGGAGAAAAGGGGGTTGGGGGGGGCACAATAAATAAAAAAATAATGGAAAAAAATTAGAAGCAAAGAAGAAAAGACACGAAATGATTAGCACTCATCCCCGGTTAAAGCCTTAAAAGGGGGGGGGGGTGGTTAAAAAAGCCGAAGGAAATCGCCCTTTGGAAAGGGGGGGGTGGATTTACCTCAGCGCTGAGGGAAGCTGAGGGCGCCCCCGGCTCCCCCCCCCCGCGGCGGGGCATGGGGAAGGGGGGGGAACAGCCTTGTTCTCAATGCAAAGGGGGTGATGGCGATACAAAAGGGGTCCCCCCCGCCCCACAACGCCCACCCGTCGGGGCCCCCCCCGCCTGCCGCAAGTCTCTACTCACCTCCACTCAGCCCTCAGAATGGCGGCGGGCCGCGCGGGCGGCTGCTTTTATAGCGGGCCACGCCCACCACGCACGGCCGCGCCTGCGCGGAAGCCTCGGCGCTGCCCACCCCTGCGGGCGGCGCATGCGCGGTGGCAGCGCGCTATTGCGTCCTCACCCCGCACCCCACAACGCTGTGGCGCAGTTTTAATTCAAGCGGCGGGCACCGCGCATGCGCGGAGCGGGAGGCGGAGCCGTACGGCAAGATGGCGGCGCCCCGCCCTCGCCCCTCCCGGTGGTAGGCGGGGCCTAGCGGGGGATCGGCGGCAAAGATGGCGCTGCCCAGGGGCATGGCGCTGCTGCGGGCGGCCGGCGCCGGGCTGAGGGCGCTGGGGCGGCCGCTGTGGGCTCGGGTGAGGCGGAATGGGGGGGGGGGGGGGAGGGAGGGGGCAGGTTGGGAACCGGGGCAGCGATGGGAACGGAACGGAGCGGGCCCCGGTACCGTGCCACGTGCGGGCGGGCAGGTCACGCCACGAGAGCGGGGCTGTGACGTCATAGGCAACGTCACCGCTGGCGACGGCCTCCCCCTTTCCTAGCGGTGTGACGTCATAGCGGCTCCCGTCAGGTCACTGGGGGGGGGTGTGATATTGGGGGGGAAGCATCACACCATGACGTCACCGCCGTGACGTCACACCCCCCCCCCCGCAGGACACCCCCCGCCTCTGTAGCACCCAGGAAGCACCCAACCCCCCCCCGAGCCCCTACGAGGAGCGGCCCTGGGAGTACCTGGAGAGCGAAGGTATTGGGGGGGTCCCCATCCCCAAATACACCTCAAAACACCCCAAAATACCCCCAAAACACCCCCAAATCTCCCCAAAATACCCTAACATCACCCCCAAATCACCCCAAAATACCCCAACATCACCCCAAAATACCCTAACATCACCCCCAAAATCATCCCAAAATACCCCAACATCACCCCCAAATCACCCCAAAATACCCCATCACCCCAAAATACCCCAACATTACCCCAAAATCACCCCAAAATACCCTAACATCACCCCCAAAATCACCCCAAAATACCCCATCACCCCAAAATCACCTCAAAATACCCCATTATTACCCCAAAATCACCCCAAAATACCCTAACATAACCCCCAAAATCACACCAAAATACCCCAACATCACCCCAAAATCAACCCAAAATACCCTAACATAACCCCCAAAATCACACCAAAATACGCCAACATCACCCCCAAATCACCCCAAAATCACCCCAAAATACCCTAACATCACCCCCAAAATCACCCCAAAACCAGCCCAAAACCACCTCCAAAATACCCCAGAACATCCCAAAATACCCCCAAATCACCGAAAATACCCCAAAATGACCTAAAACCCTCCCTGTGTTGTGTCCCCCCCCAGAGTACCGCACCACCTATGGCGACCAACCCGTCTGGTTTGGCTACCGCCGCAACCACAAAGGAGCCATCCCCCCCCAGCGCACCCGCAAGGCCTGTTTGGTGAGGGGGGGGATGTGGGGCTGGGGGGGGAGATGTGGGGCAGGGGGTTCCCCTCTGACCATATTTCCCCCCCTGCAGCGCAAGGGGAAGCGGGTGGGGAACCCCTGCCCCATATGCCGGGACCGCAACCTTCACGTGGATTATAGGGTAAGGGGGGGGGGGGGGTCTTTTCCTGCCCTTTTCCGTCCTTTTTCCTGCCCTTTTCCACCTTTTCCTGCCCTTTTCCTTCCTTTTTCCTGCCCTTTTCCACCTTTTCCTGCCCTTTTCCCTGCCCTTTTCCACCTTTTCCTGCCCTTTTCCTTCCCTTTTCCACCTTTTCCTGCCCTTTTCCTCCTCTCCCTCCCCACAGAATGTGAAGCTCCTGGACCAGTTCATCTGCCCGCACACAGGCGTCATCTTCCACCCCACACGCACAGGTAGGGGCCACCCATGGGTGCCATAATTACACTTGTATGTGTTACTGTGACACTCATGGGTGCTACAGTGACGCCTGTGGGTGCTATAACGACGTTTACATGTGTTACTGTGACACTCATGGGTGCTACAGTGATGCCTATGGGTGCTATAACGATATTTACATGTGTTACTGTGACACTCATGGGTGCTACAGTGATGCCTATGGGTGCTATAACGACGTTTACATGTGTTACTGTGACACTCATGGGTGCTACAGTGACGCCTATGGGTGCTATAACGACGTTTACATGTGTTACTGTGACACTCATGGGTGCTACAGCGATGCCTATGGGTGCTATAATGGTATTTACATGTGTTATTGTGAGGCTCATGGGTGCTATAGTGACACTGCTGTGTGTTACAGTGACACCCATAGATGCTGTAGTGACACCATAGGTGCTGTAGAGATACTTACATGTGCTATAGTGGCACCCATGGGTACCAGAGTGACATCTGTATGTTATAGTGACACCCATGGGTGCTACAGTGACACCTGTAGGTGCTGTAGTGACACCCATGGGTGCTATAATGACACGTATATGTGTTATAGTGGCACCCATGGGTGCTATAGTGACACCCGTAGATGCTAGAGCAACACCTATAGGTGCTATAGTAACACCCATAGGTGCCATAGCAACACCCATAAGTTCTGTACTGGCACTCATGGGTGCTATAGTGACACCTGTGTGTGTTATAGTAGCACCCTTGGGTGCTATAGCAACACCCACAGGTGCTCTAGTGACCCCCATAGGTGCCATAGCAACACCCGTAGGTGCTTTAGTGGCACTCACGGGTGCTCTAGTGACACCCATAGATGCTATAGTGATGCTCATATGTGCTATAGTGGCACCCGTAGGTGCCAGAGTGACACCTATGGGTGCTATAGTGACCCCCATAGGCGCTATAGTGACACCCATAGGTGCTATAGTGGCACTTAGGGGTGCTATAATGACACCCATACGTGTTGTAGTGGCACCCATAGATGCTATATTGCAGGTGTTGTAGTGACCCCCGTGGGTGCTATAGTAACCCCCAGGGGGTCACCCATGGGTGCTATGGCGTCACCCATGGGTGCCGTGGCGGCGCCCATCTCTCTCCCCCCCGCAGGGGTCTGCATGAAGCAGCACAAGCTCCTCTCCAAGGCCATCGCGCAGGCCCAGGACCACGGTGAGCCCCCAGGATGGGTGCTGTGGGGAGCGGGGGGGTGCTCAGCACCCATGGGTGCCCCCAGCCCCTCACCCCATTGCAGGCCTGCTCTGGCTGCAGGTGCCCTTCGTGCCCACGCCCAAAGGGGACTTCACCACCCGGCACCCGGCCGTGGGCAGGACCCCCCCGGCGCCCGCCCTGGCCGCCCCCCGGCCATGGTACCCGTGGTACGAGTGGCAGCCGCCCCCCGCCGCTGCCGTGGCCCGCGTCCGCCGCATGTACCGGCAGTACCTGAAGGAAGGGGCGGCCCCGGCCACCCCCGCGGCCCCGGCCGAGGGGCAATAAAAGCGCTTTCACCCCCCCGCCATGTCCCGGCGTCGTCTTCTTCCCCTCGGGGAAACTGAGGCACGGCTCTCACAAAATGGCGGCCGGCGCCACAAAATGGCGGCCAGCGCGTGTGAGGAAAGAGGGGGATATATCCCGTCGTGCTTTGCCGCTGAGCGGGAGGGCGGGGCGTGTTGCTAGGGGAGGGCAAAGCGGAGGCAGCGATTGGCCGCGCCGTTGCTAAGGGGGCGTGGCTTTCGGCAGTCGAGCTTGGCGGTTGCTGTGGCGGGGCCGGGCCGGGCCCGGCGGGTGAAGGAGGCGGCGGCGGGGCCGGGCCCGGGCCCCCGGAACCGGGATCAGCGGCCATGGAGTTCCCGTTCGACCTCGCCCCGGTGCTGGGCGACCGGTTCTGCGTGGTGGACCAGCACCTGCGGCCCGCGGGGCGGCCCGGGCCCGCCCACCGGTACCGGCACCGCGGGCATGCTGGGAGACAAGGGGGCAGCGCGGGGCATGCTGGGATAGCGGCGGACCCATAGTGGGGGTCAATGGAGGGGGGGCTCGGGGTGACCGTGTCCGTGTCCCCCTGTCCCCCCACTTCCGTGTCCCCCCATGGAGCAGAGGGGACCTGGAGCAGCAGCTGAGGACGGTCATTGATGAGCTGGGCAAGGCCTCGGCCAAGGTGGGGCCATGGGGGGGCTATGGGGGGTGATGGGGGGGCTATAGGGGGCGATGGGGGGGCTATAGGGGGCAATGGGGGCTAGAGGGGGCAATGGGGGGGCTGTAGGGGACAATGGCGGGCCATAGAGGACAATGGGGGGGGTTTGGTGGGGGTATAGGGGGCAATGGGGGTGCTATAGGGGGACAATGGGGGGCTATGGTAGAGAATGAGGGAGTAAAGGGGATAATGGGAGGGTGATGGGGGGCTATAGGAGACAATGGAGGGAGCAATGAGAGGTGGTGGGGGCGATAGGGGGTGATGGGAGGCAGTAGGGATCAATAGGGGGTTGATGGGGTACAACAAGATGCAATGGGGCACAATGAGGGGGTTCTAGAGAGCAATGCGGGGGTGATGTGGGTCAATGGGAGGGGTGATGTGGGTCAGTGGGGCGTGATGGTGGTCAATGGGGGGTAACAGCTCTGCCCCCCCAGGCCCAGGGCCTCCCGTCCCCCGTCACCAGCGCCAGCCGCATGGAGACCAACCGGCACGTGCTGTACATCCTGCGGGACCCTGAGGGCCGGAGGTGAGCCTCTGCCCCCATAGCCCCATTGATCCCCCCATAGACCCCCACTGACCCCCATAACCCCCCATTGACACCCCCATAGATCCCATTGGCACTCCCATTGACACCCCCATAACCCCCATTGACCCCCTCCACAGACCCCATTGACCCCCCCATAACCCCCCCATTGCCTCATAGGGTCCCCAAGGGCGCTGTCATCGGCTTCCTCAAGGTTGGGTACAAGAAGCTCTTCCTGCTGGTGAGTACTTGGCAGGGGGTGCCCCTGGTGTGGCGGGGGGGGGCAGCACCCCCATACCCCTCCCCTTAGCAACCATTGGGTGCCCCCACATTGTGCCCCCACGCCCCCCCAGGACCGCTCTGGTGCCCACATCGAAGCGGAGCCCCTGTGCGTGCTGGATTTCTACATCCATGAATCCCTGCAGCGCCATGGCTACGGCCGGGAGCTCTTCCATCACATGCTGCAGGTACAGGGAGTGGGGGGCACAAACTGGGGCCGCCCCCCATCCATAGGGACACTGGGGACCCCCGCTTTAATGCCTCCATCACCCCATAGAGCGAGCGGGTAGAGCCCTGGCGCCTGGCTGTGGATAGACCCTCGGCGAAGCTCCTGGCCTTCCTGCACAAGCACTATGGGCTGGAGGATGCCATCCCACAGGTAAGGGGGGGCAACACCTGGGTCCTATGGGGTGCCCCATAGAAACACATTGGGGGGGGTGAATCCCCCCCATAATTACCCCATGGGGGGGCAGAACCACCCCTCACCCCCCCATATCCCTGTTTTAGGTCAACAACTTCGTCATCTTCGAAGGCTTCTTCTCCAACCGCCCCGGTGAGTGATGGGGGGGGGCATAGGGGGCCATTGGGGGTCACTGCCTCCCCCCTCTTCTAACCCTGCTCCCCACAGCCCCCCCTGCCCGCCGCCCGCCCCCCAAGCGCCCCGAGGAGCAGATCAAGCCCTATTCCCTATCGGAGCGCGACTGTAAGTGACCAATGAGGGGGGGGACACTGAGGCACAGGGGGCGGAGCTTCCCTCTCACCTCAACCAATCCCATGCAGTCCTGCGGGAGGAGGCGGAGCCTCCCTGGCCCTTCAACCTCAGCCCCGGCCGCACGGGGGGGTCCCCGGTGCGCGGCAGCCTCCGGCCCTTCCTGCTCCGCCGGGACCTGGATGGAGGCTCGGACTCTGCGCCCCCCCCCCGCCGCTCCAGGTGGGTCCCTCCGGCTCCGCGCGGCTTTTTCCCGACTTCGCTGGGTTTTGCCTCAATTCTCACCCCTTTTCCTCTCTCTTTTGCGCTGTTTTCTACCCCCCATCCCCTTCCCCTGCAGCTCGCTCGGGCGCGTCGGCCGCTGAGCCCCACGGCAGCTCCCCACCCCCCCACCCCCACCCCCCACGGCAGGGCCTTGGGGGGCTCGTGTCTGCTGGGAGATGTGGGGTGCCCCATAGCCCCTATGGGTGCCCGTTCCTTCCCCTGCGGCTCCAGTGGGGGGGCCTGTCCCAGCCCTACGGTGTCTTCTTCCTGCCCCATAGGTCCCTGGGGGTGCCTCTTCCTGCCCCATAGGTGCCTGTCCCCATGCCACAGCCCCTGCAAGTGCCCGTCCCAGCCCCACTGGGGGGGTCCTAGTTCGTGCCCCACAGCCACCACGGGTGCCTGGCCCTGCCCCACTGCCACAGTGGGTGCCTGTTTCTGCCCCATGGAGTCCCCATGGGTGCCCATCCTCACCCCATAGGTCCAAGGGGGGGGGGGGGGCCTCTCCTCACCCCACCGTGCCAATGGGGACCCATCCCTGCCCTATGGGTGCCTGTCCCTGCCCCACAGCCCCTTCGCCCCTCCCCATTTTGGTAACGTTTCAATAAAAACGGTGAATTTCAGCTTTGGGTCTCCTGTTGTGTCTGGGGGTGACGTCCATCAGGAAGGCGTGGTCTCGTCATTTAGCCACGCCCCCCGGAAGAAGAGCCCCGTTCCTATTGGCTGTGCGGCGCGCTGGCTCCGCCCCCTGAGGGGAATGAATGGGGTGCGACGGCGGGAAAGCAGCCGGCGCGCGTAGCGGGCGCGCATGCGCAGAGCGCTCCCTCCCGGTCACCTTCCCCGGCGCTCTCCTCCCCTGTGCGCACGCGCGCCGCCCCCGCGCTTCGCTCCCTCCTCCTGCCGCGCCTGCGCGCGCTGTGGGCGGGGCCGGTGCCGCGCCGCTCATGCGCAGTGCGAGCACCGGGGGGGGCTCCGCCATGTACCGGCAGGGCCGGGCCGCAGCCGCCGCCGCCGCCGCCGCCCGGCTCCGGGCATGGCCCCCGCCTGAGCGCCCCGCGCATGCGCAGCTGCCCCCGCGCCGCCGGTACCGGGCGCGCCCGCAGGTGAGGGGAGAGCGGGCGGGGTCAGGCAGAGCGGGATGGGAGGGGCTATGCAAATAGAGGGCGGTGAGGGGGTGTGGCTATGCAAATGACCAGCGCCAATTGGAGTGGGTTCTGCTGCGTGGAGGAGGGGCTATGCAAATGAGCTGTGCGCGAAGAAGAAAAGGGCGTGAGTAGGCGAATGAGCCGAGCCAATAGGAATGGGTGCTGCTGTTTTGGGGCGTGGCTATGCAAATGAGCCGTGCCTATAGGGATGGGGTCTACTGCATGGAGGCATGGCTGTGCGAATGAGCTGAGCCAATAGGAATGGATCCTGCTGTTTTGAGGCGTGGCTATGCAAATCAGCTGTGTCTATAGGGATGGGGTCTACTACATGGAGGCATAGCTGTGTGAATGAGCTGAGCCAATATGAATGGTTCCTGCTGTTTTGGGGCGTGGCTATGCAAATGAGCTGTGTCTATAGGGATGGGTCTACTGCATGGAGGCGTGGCTATGAAAATGAGCCGTACCAATAGTAGTGGCTATGCAAATGAGCTGTGCGCAGAGAAGAAGGGGGCGTGAGTAGGCAAATGAGCTGTGCCAATAGGATGGGTCCTGCTGTTTTGAGGCGTGGCTATGCAAATGAGCTGTGCCTATAGATATGGGGTCCACTGCATGGAGGCATGGCTCTGCAAATGAGCTGAGCCAATAGGAATGAGTGCTGCTGTTTGGAGGTGTGACTATGCAAATGAGTCAAGCCAATAGCAGTTGGTTCTCCTGTTTTAAGGCGTGGCCATGCAAATCAGCCCATGTGTCAATAGGCGTTCTACAGTTGGGAGGCGTGGCTATACAAATGAGCTGTGCCAATATTGGTTCTGTTTGGAGGTTTGGCTATGCAAATGAGCCAATGTGTCAATGGGAACACATTCTGCTGTATGGAGGCGTGGTTATGCAAACGAGCTGTGCCAATGTTAATCGTTTGGAGGCGTGGGTATGCAAATGAGTCGTGCCAATAAGAATTGCTTCTGATTAGATGCGTTGTTACGCAAATTAGCTGTGCCAATAAGAATGGGTTGTGTTGTTTGGAGGCGTGGCTATGCAAATAAGCAGTGTCAATATGCATTTGCCCTGTTTGGAGGCGTGGCTATGCAAATGAGCGTTGTGAATATGAATGGCTTTCGTTGTTTGAAGGCGTGGCTACGCAAATAAGCAGTGTCTACATGAATTTGCACTGTTTGGAGGCGTGGCTATGCAAATGAGCGGTGCTAATAGGAATGGGTAATGTTGTTTGGAGGCGTGGCTATGCAAATGACGTGCATCAATACGAATGGCTTTAGTTGTTTGGAGGCACGGCTATGCAAATGACGTGCACCAATACGAATGGGTTATGTTGTTTGGAGGCGTGGCTATGCAAATGACGTGCATCAATACAAATGGCTTTAGTTGTTTGGAGGCACGGCTATGCAAATGACGTGCGCCAATACGAATGGGTTATGTTGTTTGGAGGCGTGGCTATGCAAATGACGTGCATCAATACGAATGGCTTTAGTTGTTTGGAGGCACGGCTATGCAAATGACGTGCGCCAATACGAATGGGTAATGTTGTTTGGAGGCGTGGCTATGCAAATGACGTGCGCCAATACGAATGGGTTATGTTGTTTGGAGGCGTGGCTATGCAAATGACGTGCATCAATACGAATGGGTTATGTTGTTTGGAGGCGTGGCTACGCAAACGCTCTACCTTGTGGGCGTGGCTATGCAAATCCCAACGGCGGGATCCTGACGACGTGGGCGGGGCTTTGTGGGTGGCCGAGTGCCCGCAGGGAGCGCCGGCTCCACGCCCACCCCGGCGCTCCCGCAGGACCTGGCGCCCCCCGGTGGCCACGTCCCGGCACTGCCGCCGCCGCCGCCGCCGCCGCTGTCGCTGTCCCCTCCGGAGGGGCTCGGCGGCTCCTTCACCACGGTGGACGGGCGGCGCGAGGACGACATCGCCGTGCGGGACGGGCCCGGAGCCGCCCGGCTCCTGCTGCGGGGCCCGGCCCTGCCGCTGCTCCGCCCCGGCCCGCAGCACGCCCCCCGCCAGCCCCCGTCCATGGAGGAGCACTTGGCCGTCATGCACCAGAAGCTGCAGCACGAGGTGATGCCAATGGGGGCTCAACCCCACTGCGCTGCCCTATGGGGGGGGGGGGGCTGCTCCTTCATCCCCACCCTCACCCCCCCTCCTTTCCCCCCCCTCCCGCAGCTCCCCAATTTCTTCCTCAAGATCCCCGATTACGGCCTCTACTCCCACGACGTGGAGTTCATCAACCACCTCCTGCACCTGCACACGCGGTGAGTGCCCCCCCACCCCATAGCACCCAATGGGGCCGGTGCCAACCCCCCCCTCCATGGGGATGCTCTGTGACCCCCATGTCGTCCCCCCCCCATCTCCATCCCCACTGCAGGGGCCGGCCCATGTACCAGGTGGCCGTGGCGCTGTGCCGGGCGCTGGCCTGGGGCTACTTCGCCAGCCTGAGGCTGGAGGTGCTGGCGCTCACCCGGCACCCCGAGGACTGGAGCATCCGGGCCCGCTGGCGCCTCACGGGGCTGCCCCTGCACCTCCTCGTGCTGCGCTTCTACCGGCGGGACAAGGCCGCCCTCCTGCGGTCAGTGACGGGCATGGCACCCATTGGCACCCATTGACACCCGTTGGTACCCACTGACACCCATTATTACCCGTTGACACCCACTGGTACCCACTGACACCCGTTGGTACCTACTGGTACCCATTACATCCCCTCACACCCATTGGTACCCATTGACACCCACTGGTACCCATTATATCCCTGGCACCCACTGCTACCCATTGATACCCATCAGTACCCGTTACATCCCCTGACACCCACTGCTGCCCACTGGTACCCATTACATCCCCTGATACCCACTGATACCCACTGACACCCATTAGTACCCATTGACACCTATTACATCCCCTGACACCCACCGGTACCCACTGATACCCCCTGACACCCATTGGTACCCGTTACATCCCCTGACACCCATTGGTACCCATTGACACCCCTGGGTCATCCCCTGCACCTGTGCATGCTGTGCTTCTATTGGCATAAGGCCGCCCTCCTGTGGTCAGTGACAGACACTGCACCCATTGACACCCCCTGACACCCACTGACACCCATTGACACCCAGTCATCCCCCTGACACCCCTCCATCCCCCCCTGTCCCTCCTCTCCCCATGGCACAAGAGGTTGGGTCCCCTTTGTCCCCATCACCCCGCGCCCCCTTTGTCCCTGTAACCCTGCGTCCCTGTCCTTCCATAGGGTGTAATGCCAGCCCCATATCCCTATTACCCCTGGGGACCAGGGTTCATTCCAGCCCCATATCCCCCCCTCAATGTCCCCCTTGCCTCCATCCCACCCCAGGTCCTACGACGCCTTCTCCACCTTCTTCCTCAACTCGCAGGGGCTCATCCGCTGCCACCGCGTGGACAAGGTAGGACCGGGTCCGTACCCCCCCATGTGCCCCCCCTTTTCCCCCCCCATGTCCCCCCTTTTCCCCCCCCATGTCCCTCACTCTGTCCCCACAGCTGATGCCCGCCCCGACGCCGCTGGCCCAGGACAAGAAGCTGCTGGTGGCCGCCGCGGTGGCCGCGCTCTCGGCACCGGTGCCACCACCGGTGCCCCCCCTGCACCTCGCCATGAAGCCCTCGGCCACCCAGGAGGACCCCTGAACCCCCCCCCCCATTGTCCCCAACACCGCCCCCCCCGTGTCCCCTTAACTTAATGTACAGAATAAACACCATGGACGGAGCCGTGCCCCACGGGCCCTGCTGGGGCTGTATTGGGGTCCCCAATGGGCTCATCCCAGCTCCTCCCGGCTCTTCCCGACCTTCTTGGGCATCTTGCGGGCGCTGCCGTCCTCCAGCTCCTTGGCCTGGTAGTAATGGGGGGCCACCTCCAGCAGCCACGCGCTGTCGATCTCGATCACCTTGGGGACAATGGGGACATTGAGGGGGCTGTCACAGCGCCCCAAGCCCATGGGGACATGGGGGGGGTCTGGTCCCATTGCACTTGGCCCCCATGAAGGGTCCTGGTCCTTGTCCCATCCCGTCATGGTGACATCCCTTAGGATCCCCTTCCACCCCATTCCCAATGGGGACAGTGGTGGCCACGTCCCCTCATTGCCATGGCCCAGCCCCTGGGGGGGAACGCAGCCAAGGTGGGGATGTGCCCGTGGCAATGGTGCTGTCCCCATCCCAGTGTCCCCGTGCCCATGGTGATGTCCTTATCCCAGTGTCCCTTTGACCATGTCCCCATGGCCACCTCCCCATGCCCATGGTGCTGTCCCCATCCCAGTATCCCCATGCCCATGGTACCATCCCCATCCCAGTGTCCCCATATCCTTGGTGCTGTCCCCATCCCAGTGTCCCCATGGCCACCTCCCTATGCCCATGGCAGTGTCCCCATCCCCATCCCAGTGTCTCCATGCCCATGGTGCTGTCGCTGTCCCCATGCCCATGGTGATGTCCTTATCCCAGTGTCCCTTTGACCATGTCCCCATGGCCACCTCCCCATGCCCATGGTGCCGTCCCCATCCCAGTGTCCCCATGCCCACGGTGACGTTCCCATCCCAGTGTCCACATTTCCATGGTGCTGTCCCCATCCCCTTGCCCATGTCCCCATGCTCACGGTGCTGTCCCCATGCCCATGGTGCCGTCCCCATCCCAGTGTCCCCATGCCCATGGTGATGTCCCTGTCCCCACGGTGCTGTCCCCATGCCCATGGTGCCGTCCCCATCCCAGTGTCCCCATGCCCACGGTGATGTCCCCATGCCCACGGTGCTGTCCCCATGCCCATGGTGCCATCCCCATCCCAGTGTCCCCATGCCCACGGTGATGTCCCCATGCCCACGGTGCTGTCCCCATGCCCATGGTGCCATCCCCATCCCAGTGTCCCCATGCCCACGGTGATGTCCCCGTGCCCACGGTGCTGTCCCCATGCCCCTGGTACCCGCCCTGGCTCCCCACCTGCCGCATGAACTCCTTGGTGGTGCAGACGAGCTCGTGGTAGAGCACCCAGCGGGGCTGCTCCTCGAAGAGGGCGCTGTTGGGGTGGATGAACACCGAGTGCTGGTGCTTCACCGTGCGGTACCCGCCGCGCGTCAGCCGCGCCGTGTGGTAGAAGAACCCGGCCGTGATGGCCTGGGGGGGGGGCACACAACGGGGTCAGTGCTGGGGGGTCCCAATGGGGACGGAAGGGGTGAGGGGGGGGGGGAGCAGGGACCTTGCGGACGGGGCCGTAGTCGGTGCCGCAGGAGACCGGGGTGATCTCCACGCGCTCCATGAGCCCCTCGAGCTGCTCCCGCACGTCGCGGGCCCGGCGCAGGGAGCGCGCCTGCACGAAGTGCTCGTAGCACCACTGCAGGGAGTGCCCGCTCGCCACCCACTGCAATGGGGAGATGGGGGGCAAGGGGGACACGGTCAGGCCAGGTTGTAGCCCCCATACCCCCCAGCCCATCACCCTGCCCTGTACCCCATATATCTCATATCCCATACCCCATATCCCACATCCCATACCCCACATCCCTGCCTGGTTGTACACATTGAGCAGTACAAGGTGGTTGCTGCCAAGCACAATGAAGCCCCAACACATGCTGTCCCCATACCCCACATCCCATATATCTCACATCCCATACCGCACATCCCCATATCCCATACGCCATATCCCCACACCCCATCTCCCATATCCCACATCCCATATATCCCACATCCCACATATCCCATATATCCCATATCCCACATCCCATATATCCCATACATCCCACATCCCATATACCCCATCTCCCACATCCCACATCCCATGTACCCCATATATCCCACATCCCGTATACCCCACATACCCCATCTCTCATACCCCACATCTCATATACCCCATATCCTATACCCCATATATCCCATATCCTATACCCCATATACCCCATACACCCCATACATCCCATATACCCCATATCCTATACCCCATATACCCCATACACCCCATACATCCCATGTACCCCATATCCTATACCCCACGCACCCCACACACCTCCCGCCATCTCCCCCCATGTCCCTGCCTGGTTGTAGACGTTGAGCAGCACGAGGTGGTCCCCCCCGGGCAGGTGGAAGCCCCGGCGGGCGCTGTCAGCGTGCAGGACCTTGTCCTTGGGCCGGTAGAAGATGGCGTTGTTCACCGAGAGCATGGCGGCCACCGTCAGCACCTCCTCTGTACAGCCGTACCTGTGGGGCACCATGGGGGGGGCATCCATGGGGGGGCATCCATGGGGCGGGCATCCATAGCGGGGGGACACCCATAGGGCACCATGGGGACACACATAAGGCACCGTGGGGACACCAACCATAGGACACCCAAGGGACACACTGGGGACACCCATAGGGCACCGTGGGGACACCATCCATAGGATGCCCAAGGGACACCCATGGGGCACCCACAGGGGCACACTGGGGGCACCCATAGGACACCCAAGGGGGGACACCCATAGGACACCCAAGGGGGGACACCCATAGGACACCCAAGGGACACATTGTGGGCATCCATAGGACACCATGGGGACATCACCCATAGGACACCCAAGGGACACCCATGTGGCACACTGGGGGCACCCATAGGACACCCAAGGGGGGACAACCATAGGACACCCAAGGGACACACTGGAGGCACCCATAGGACACCCAAGGGATACACCGGGGACACCTATAGGGCACCCGTAGGACACCCAAGGGGGGACAACCATAGGACACCCAAGGGACACCCATAGGACACGATGGGGACACCCATGGGGCACTCACTGCTCAGAGGCCAGGATCATCTTGGCCAACATGGGCTCCACAGGCAGCTCCGCCATGCGCCGGCCCAGCTGGGACAGCCCAGTGACCACCAGTGAGCACCAGTGACCACCCACAGTGCTCCCAGTAACCACCAGTGACCACTAGTGACGACCAGTGATTCCCCCCAGTGCTCCCAGTGACCACCAGTGACCCCCCCAGTGCTCCCAGTGACCACCAGTGACCACCAGTGACCACCAGTAACCCCCAGTGACCCCCCCAGTGCTCCCAGTGACCACCAGTGACCACCAGTAACCACCAGTGACCTCCCCAATGCTCCCAGTAACCACCAGTGACCACTAGTGACGACCAGTGATTCCCCCCAGTGCTCCCAGTGACCACCAGTGACCACCAGTAACCCCCAGTGACCCCCCCAATGCTCCCAGTGACCACCAGTGACCCCCCCCAGTGCTCCCAGTGACCACCAGTGACCACCAGTAACCACCAGTGACCTCCCCAATGCTCCCAGTGACCACCAGTGACCCCCTCCAGTGCTCCCAGTGACCACCAGTAACCACCAGTGACCCCCCCAGTGCTCCCAGTGACCCCCCCAGTGCTCCCAGTGATCCCCCCAGTGCTCCCAGTGACCCCCCAGTGCTCCCAGTGCTCCCCCCAGTGCTCCCAGTGCTCCCAGTGACCCTCCCAGTGCTCCCAGTGACCCCCCCAGTGCTCCCAGTGACCACCAGTGACCTCCCCAATGCTCCCAGTGACCACCAGTGACCCCCTCCAGTGCTCCCAGTGACCACCAGTAACCACCAGTGACCCCCCCAGTGCTCCCAGTGCTCCCCCCAGTGCTCCCAGTGCTCCCAGTGACCCTCCCAGTGCTCCCAGTGACCCCCCCAGTGCTCCCAGTGACCACCAGTGACCCCCCCAGTGCTCCCAGTGACCCCCCCAGTACCGTAGTGAGCTCGCCCATGTGGTTGAGGGCACCCAGGGCATAGAGCTGCTCCAGCGCCAGCACCAGCGTCTCGTGGGGGGGCGGGTCCAGGAAGTCGAAGTGGATCAGGTCATTGATGCCTGCGGATGGGGACGTCACCAAGGGACCCCCACAGGGACCCCCCAGACAGACCCCCATAGGGACCCCCATAGGGACCCCCCATAGGGACACCCCCAGACAGACCCCCATAGGGACCCCCCATAGGGACCCCCCCATACAGACCCCCATAGGGACCCCCCCATAGGACCCACCATAGGGACCCCCCCATACAGACCCCCATAGGGACCCCCCATAGTGCCCACATAAGTGCCCCCATAGTGACCTCCATATTGACCCCATAGTAACCCCGTAGTGACCTCCATATTGACCCCATAGTGACCCCATAGTGACCCCATAGTGACCCCATAGTGACCTCCATAGTAACCCCATAGTGACCCCATAGTGACCTCCATAGTGACCCCACAGTGACCCCATAGAAACCTCCATAGTGACCCCCATATTGCCCCCCATAGTGCCTCCTACAGTGACCCCCATAGGACTCCCATAGTGACCTCCATATTGACCCCATAGTAACCCCCATAGAACCCCCATAGAACGCATATTGACCCCATAGTAACCCCCCCAGAACCCCCATAGGACCCCCACAGGACCCCCACAGGACCCCCACATTGACCCCATAGTAATACCCCCAGAACCCCCATAGGACCCCCACAGGACCCCCATAGGACCCATAGGACCCCCACAGGACCCACAGGACCCCCACAGGACCCCCATAGGACCCACAGGCCCCCCACAGGACCCACAGGACCCACACAGGACCCCCATAGGACCCACAGAACCCCCACAGGACCCCCATAGGACCCACACAGGACCCACAGGCCCCCCAGGACCCCCACAGGACCCCCATAGAACCCACAGGACCCCCACAGGACCCACAGGACCCCCACAGCACCCCCATAGGACCCACAGGACCCCCACAGGACCCCCATAGGACCCACAGGACCCCCACAGGACCCCCACAGGACCCCCATAGGACCCACAGGACCCCCACAGGACCCCCACAGGACCCCCACAGGACCCACAGGACCCCCATAGGACCCCCACAGGACCCACAGGACCCCCACAGGACCCTCATAGGACCCACAGGTCCCCCACAGGACCCCCAGGACCCCCATAGGACCCACAGGACCCCCACAGGTCCCCCACAGGTCCCCCACAGGACCCACAGGACCCCCATAGGACCCATAGGACCCCCACAGGACCCCCACAGGACCCCCAGGACCCCCATAGGACCCACACAGGACCCACAGGCCCCCCAGGACCCCCACAGGACCCCCATAGGACCCACAGGACCCATAGGACCCCCACAGGACCCCCACAGGACCCACAGGACCCCCACAGGACCCACAGGACCCACACAGGACCCCCATAGGACCCACAGGACCCACACAGGACCCTCATAGGACCCACAGGACCCCCACAGGACCCCCATAGGACCCCCACATTGACCCCATAGTAATACCCCCAGGACCCCCACAGGACCCCCACAGGACCCACAGGACCCCCACAGCACCCCCATAGGACCCACAGGACCCCCACAGGACCCCCACAGGACCCCCACAGGACCCCCACAGGACCCCCAGGACCCACACAGGACCCCCACAGGACCCACAGGACCCCCATAGGACCCCCACAGGACCCAAACGACCCCCACCGAACCCCCAGGCCCCCCAGACGACCCACAGGACCCCCACAGGACCCCCACAGGACCCCCACAGGACCCCCAGGCCCCCTACGGCCGCCGCACCGAGGCTCTTGAGCAGCAGGACGAGGGAGCCCAGGTCCGCGCGCTGGATCTCGGGCACCGGCGTCTCCTCGAGCTCGTGCTGGAAGGCCCAGGCCGTGTAGAGCCGGAAGCACTTGCCCGGGGCCACGCGCCCGGCCCGGCCCGCCCGCTGATTGGCTGAGGCCTGGGGGGGGGGGTAACGTCATTGGGGGGGGGGGTACCCCAGGGATGGGGATGGGGGGATACAGGGATGTGGGGATGGAGATGGGGGGGGATATGGGGATGTGGGGACACAGGGATGGGGATGGAGGGATACAGGGATGTGGGGATGGAGATGGGGGGGATATCGGGATGGGGGGATACGGGGATGGAGGGGATACGGGGATGTGGGGATGGAGATGGTTGTGGATATGGTGATGGGTGGATACAGGGATGGGGATGGGGGGGATACAGGGATGTGGGGATGGAGATGGGGGGGATGTGGGGATGGAGATGGGGGGGATATGGGGATGGGGGGATACAGGGATGGGGATGGAGGGGATACGGGGATGTGGGGATGGAGATGGGGGGGATATGGGGATGGGGGGATGGAGATGGGGGGATATGGGGATGGGGGAGACACAGGGATGGGGATGGGGGGATACAGGGATGTGGGGGACATGGGGATGGGGGGACACAGGGATGGGGATGGGGGGGATACAGGGACATGGGGACACAGGGATGGGAATGGGGGGGATACAGGGACATGGGGACACAGGGATGGGGGGATACAGGGACATGGGGACACAGGGATGTGTGGACACAGTAACCAAAGGATGTGAGGACACCAGGATACAGCTCCCCGCAGGGACCCCGGGGACGCTGGCACGCACTGCCCCCCATAGAAGGGGCACGGGGGAGGGACAGAGCCAGCTGTGGGTACCAAGGGGTGACGGGGGGGTGACGGGGGTGGCAGGGCCCCACGCACCCGCGAGCAGGGGGTCACCACGAGGGACTCCATGCCGGTGCGGGCGCTGTAGCTCTTCTGCTTGCAGAAGCCGGGGTCCAGGACGTAGACGATGCCGTCGATGGTCACCGACGTCTCCGCAATGTTCGTGGCCACCACCACCTATGGGGCGCGGAGGGGGGGGGAATGGGACATGGAGGCTCCTCCCCCTTGGACCATGCCCCTTTAAGCTCTGCCCCCTTAGACCCACCCCTTGGACCCCCATTAATCCCTCCTCCTTTGACCCCACCCCCTTTACCCCACCCCATTAAGCCCCTCCCATTTAGCCCAACCCATTTAAGCCCCTCCCCTTTTGCACCACCCATTCACCCACCCCATTAAGCCCCCGCCTTTAAGCCCCTCCCCTAGAGCATCACCCCATTAAGCCTCTCCCCTTTAACCCCACCCCATTAAGCCCCTCCCCTTTACACCTCTCCCCTTTAACCCCACCCCATTAAGCCCCTCCCCTTTACAACTCTCCCCTTTAACCCCACCCCATTAAGCCCCTCCCCTTCAACCCCACCCCATTAAGCCCCTCCCTTTTACCCACCCCAATAAGCCTCTCCCCTTTAACCCCACCCCATCAAGCCACTCCCCTTCAACCCCACCCCATTAAGCCCCTCCCCTTTAACCCCACCCCATTAAGCACCTCCCCTTCCGCCCCACCCTTTCCCCCATTGGCTCCCCACCCTCGGGCCCGCCCCTCTCTTAAAGGGCCAGCACCTTGCGCGCCCCGGGCGGCGTGGGCTGGAAGATGCGGGCCTGCATGTCGGAGGGCAGGTTGGCGTAGATGGGCAGCACCAGCAGCTCAGGCAGGCGCGAGCCCAGGCGCCGGCACCGCTCCTGCAGCAGCTCCACGCACGCCTCGATCTCCTCCTGCGGGGGACATGGAGCAGCCATAGGGACACAAGGGGGGCATCCATAGGGACACAAGGGGGGCATCCATAGGGACACAAGGGGGGCATCCATAGGGACGCAACGGGGGCATCCATAGGGACGCAACGGGGACATCCATAGGGACGCAACGGGGACATCCATAGGGACGCAACGGGGGCATCCATAGGGACGCAACGGGGGCATCCATAGGGATACAACAGGGACATCCATAGGGATATAACAGGGACATCCATAGGGATACAACAGGGACATCCATAGGGATGCAACGGGGACATCCATAGGGACGCAATGGGGACATCCATAGGGACGCAATGGGGACATCCATAGGGACGCAATGGGGACATCCATAGGGACACAATGGGGACATCCATAGGGACACAAGGGGGGCATCCATAGGGACGCAACAGGGGCATCCATAGGGACACAAGGGGGGCATCCATAGGGATGCAACGGGGACATCCATAGGGACACAAGGGGGACATCCATAGGGACACAAGGGGGGCATCCATAGGGACACAAGGGGGACATCCATAGGGACGCAACAGGGGCATCCATAGGGACGCAACGGGGCCATTCATAGGGACGCAACGGGGACATCCATAGGGACGCAACGGGGGCATCCATAGGGATACAAAGGGGACATCCATAGGGATACAAAGGGGACATCCATAGGGAGACGGGCCCGCACCTGGCCGGTGAGGAAGACGAGGATGTCCCCGGGGGGCTGCGTGACGTGGATCTGCAGCACCGACACCACGCACGCCTCCAGGTAATCGGCCTCGGGCGCCTGCACAGGGGCCATGGGGGGACGGCGGCGTCACCAAGTGTGCCCACAGCCCCCCCATGTCCCACACCCCATATCCATATCCACATCCCATATCCATACCCGACATCCCACACCCCATATCCATATCCACATCCCATATCCATACCCCACATCCCACACCCCATATCCATATCCACATCCCATATCCATACCCGACATCCCACACCCCGTATCCATATCCCACATCCCATATCCATGTCCCATACCCCATGTCCCATACCCTATCCCCCATATCACATAACCCACATCCCACACCCCATATCCATATCCCACATCCCATATATTCATGTCCCATACCCCATATCCCATATATCCCATACCCCATACCCCACATCCCATATTCCATATCCATACCCCATATCCCATACTCCACATCCCATCCCCCACATCCCATACCCCACACCCCATACCCCATACCCCACATCCACACCCCACACCCCATATCCACATCCACACCCCATATCCCACATCCCACACCCCATACCCCGTATCCCACACCCCACACCCCATACATCCCATATCCCACACCCCATACCCCATACCCCATACCCCATTGAGCAGCCCGAAGAGCACGTCCGTGTGCAGCGTGCGCTCGTGAGCCTCGTCCACCATCAGCACGCTGCGGGCAGCCGCACGGCACGGGGGACGTGGGGATGGGCACGGCACACGCGTGGGGACGGGGGGGTGGGCACGGGACACGCGTGGGGATGGGCATGGGACACACGTGGGGATGGGCACGGGACACACGTGGGGATGGGGGGGTGGGCATGGGACACACATGGGGACGTGGGGATGGGCACGGGACAGGCGTGGGGACGTGGGGATGGGCACGGCACACACGTGGGGACGTGGGGATGGGCACGGGACACGCGTGGGGACGTGGGGATGGGCACGGGACACGCGTGGGGATGTGGGGATGGGCACGGGACACGCGTGGGGACGTGGGGATGGGCACGGGACACGCGTGGGGACGTGGGGATGGGCATGGGACACACGTGGGGACGTGGGGATGGGCACGGGACACGCGTGGGGATGGGCACGGGACACGCGTGGGGATGTGGGGATGGGCACAGGACACGCGTGGGGACGTGGGGATGGGCACGGCACACGCGTGGGGATGGGCACAGGACACGCGTGGGGACGTGGGGATGGGCATGGGACACACGTGGGGACGTGGGGATGGGCACGGGACACGCGTGGGGATGTGGGGATGGGCACGGGACACGCGTGGGGACGTGGGGATGGGCACTGGACACGCGTGGGGACATGGGGATGGGATGGGGGACGTGGGGATGGGCACAGGACAGGCGTGGGGATGGGCACGGGACACACATGGGGACGTGGGGATGGGATGGGGACGTGGGGATGAGCACGGGACAGGCGTGGGGATGAGTGTGGGACAGGCATGGGGACATGGGGATGGGATGGGGGACATGGGGATGGGATGGGGGATGTCGGGATGGGCAAGGGACAGGCGTGGGGATGGGACGGGAGACATGGGGATGAGTGTGGGACACACATGGGGATGGGATGGGGGACGTGGGGATGAGTGTGGGACAGGCATGGGGATGGGATGGGAGACATGGGGATAAGTGCAGGACAGGCGTGGGGATGAGTGTGGGACACACATGGGGACATGGGGATGGGATGGGGGACGTGGGGATGAGCGTGGGGCACACATGAGGACATTGGGATAAGCGTAGGACACACATAAGGTCATGGGGATAAGCATGGGCCAGGCATAAGGACATGGGGACAAGCAGGGGACACACATGAGGACATTGAGATAAGCATGGGACATGCATGGGGACGGGCAGGGGACAGGCAGGGGGACAAGGAGATAAACATGAGATGCACATAAGGACATGGGGACAGGCAGGGGACACACATAAGGACATGGGGACAAGCATGGGACACACACGAGCACATTGGGATAAGTGTGGGACACACATAAGGACATGGGGACAAGCAGGGGACCCACATGAGGATGTGGGGACAAGCATGGGACAGGCATGGGACACACATGACGACATGTAGATAAACACGGGACACGCATAAGGATGTGGGGACACGCATGGGACACACAGCAGGCCATGGGGACAGCAATGGTGACCCCCAACCCATAGCAGTCAGCCCCAGCAGAACACTGGGCACCCCCCTGTGCCCAGTGTCCCAATGGGCACCTGTAGGAGGCGAGGTCGGGCTCGGTGAGGAATTCCCGCAGGAGCATCCCGTCCGTCATGTACTTGAGTACGGTGCGCTCCGACGTGCAGTCCTCGAAGCGGATGCTGTACCCGACCTGGGGGTAGGACCCTCACGTGAAGCCACATCCCCATATCCCATACCCCATATCCCACATCCCCATACCCCATATCCCATATCCCAAATCCAAAAAATCCATATAGCACATCCCATACCCCATATGCTGCATCCTCTATCCCATATCCCATATCCTGTACCTTGTATCCCACATCCCACACCCCATACGCCATATCCCATACCCCACATCCCCACACCCCATATGCCATACCCCATATCCCGTACCCCACATCCCCACACCCCATATGCCATACCCCATACCCCACACCCCACATCCCTCTCACCTCATTGCCCAGCTTGGTACCCATCTCCACGGCCACCCGTGCCGCCACGCTCATGGCAGCCACTCGCCGCGGCTGCGTGATGCCGATCTTCAACCCCTGCCTCGTGTACCCCTGACCAATGGGGGGGGGACACGGTCAAAGAGGGGGGTGGACCCCAAACCCCACTGCCCCCCATTGCCCCCCCTTGCCCCCCACCTCCTCGTGCAGGTACTGTGGGATCTGCGTGGTCTTCCCGGAGCCCGTCTCGCCCTCGATGACCACGACCTGGTGCTGGGCGATGGCGGCCATCAGCTCGTCCCGGTACGGGAAGATGGGGAGGCTGCGGCGCTGCTCCTGCACCGACTGCCGCCGCCGCTCCGCCTCGGACACCGCCGGAGCCGCCTCCTATGGGGGGGCACCCGTCACCTCTGTGGGCACCCGTCACCTCTATGGCCACCCATTACCTCTATGGGCACCCGTCACCTCTATGGGCACCCGTCACCTCTGTGGGCACCATCACCTCTATGGGCACCCGTCACCTCTGTGAGCACCCGTCACCTCTGTGGGCACCCGTCACCTCTGTGGGCACCATCACCTCTATGGGCACCATCACCTCTATGGGCACCCGTCACCTCTGTGGGCACCATCACCTCTATGGGCACCCATCACCTCTATGGGCACCATCACCTCTATGGGCACCTGTCACCTCTGTGGGCACCCGTCACCTCTGTGGGCACCATCACCTCTATGGGCACCCGTCACCTCTGTGGGCACCATCACCTCTGTGGGCACCATCACCTCTATGGGCACCCATCACCTCTGTGGGCACCATCACCTCTATGGGCACCCGTCACCTCTATGGGCACCATCACCTCTATGGGCACCCGTCACCTCTATGGGCACCATCACCTCTATGGGCACCCGTCACCTCTATGGGCACCCGTCACCTCTGTGGGCACCCGTCACCTCTGTGGGCACCATCACCTCTGTGGGCACCATCACCTCTGTGGGCACCATCACCTCTATGGGCACCCATCACCTCTGTGGGCACCATCACCTCTATGGGCACCCGTCACCTCTATGGGCACCATCACCTCTATGGGCACCCGTCACCTCTATGGGCACCATCACCTCTATGGGCACCCGTCACCTCTATGGGCACCCGTCACCTCTGTGGGCACCCGTCACCTCTGTGGGCACCATCACCTCTGTGGGCACCCGTCACCTCTGTGGGCACCATCACCTCTATGGGCACCATCACCTCTATGGGCACCATCACCTCCTATGGTACCTATCACCTCCTATGGACACCCACAGCAGCCCCATATCCATCCCTTACCCCCACCCCCACCCCTTACCCCCATATCCCTCCCCCTCCCCACGTGCCCGCCCCGCCGTGGGCACCTCGTGGGGCTGGCTGCCCTGCAGCTGGCTGGCACTGATGAACTGCACCATGTGCTCCTCCTCCAGCAGGACCTCGTAGTGGGGCTGGGGCCGGCGGTGGGCGGCGTCGCGGGCCCCGAAGCGCAGCGCGGCCGCTTCCATGCGCTCCTCCTCCCAGCGCCGCTGCTCGTCCCGGGGGGCCAGGGGCTCCTCGGGGCCCGCCTCCGGCTCCTCTGGCTCCAGCACCTGGGGGGGGGGTAAGGGATGGGTATGGGGGGTAAGGGATGGGTATGGGGGGGGTAACAGGTGGGTATGGGGGAGTTAAGGGGTGGAGATAGGGATGGGTTTGGGGGGTAAAGGGGGGGGGGTTGGCGGGGGTAAGGGGTGGGTATGGGGGGGTAAGGGATGGGTTTGGGGGGGTAAGGAATGGATATGGGGGAGGTAAGGGATGGATATGGAGGTTAAGGGGTGGGTTTGGGGGGGTAAGGGATGGGTTTGGGGGGTAAGGGATGGATGTGGGGGGGTAAGGGATGGGTATGGGGGGTAAGGGATGGGTATGGGGGGGTAAGGGATGGGTTGGGGGGGGTAAGGGGTGGATATGGGGGTTAAGGGATGGATATGGGGGGTAAGGGATGGATTTGGAGCACCGGGAACTGATGGGAAGTGATGGGATGGATCCCATCGGGATACAGGAGGGGTTTGGAGCACCGGGAACTGATGGAAGTGATGGGATGGATCCCATCGGGATACAGGAGGGGTTTGGAGCACCGGGAACTGATGGAAGTGATGGGATGGATCCCATCGGGATACAAGAGGGGTTTGGAGCACCGGGAACTGATGGAAGTGATGGGTTGGATCCCATCGGGATACAGGAGGGGTTTGGAGCACCGGGAACGGATGGAAGTGATGGGATGGATCCCATCGGGACCCGGGAGGGCTCTGGAGCCCGGACCTTGCCGCGCCGCTCCTCGGGCATCCGGTACCGCTGGCTCTTCTCGAGGCGCTCCCGCTCCCCCGCCCGCTTGTACTGGCGGGCCAGGTCCCGCAGGCGGCGCTTGTAGCGCAGGCGGCTCCGCTCCGGGGCCGAGAGCGCCTCCTCCCCGAAGAGCTGCTCCTCGTCCGCGATCTCGGCCTCCAGCTCCTCCAGCTTGTCCCGCTCCCGCTTGGCCAGGTATTCCCGGCGGGAGCGCTTCCGCAGCTCCGGCACCTGCGGGAAAGCCAGCGGGATGCACTGGGATGCAGTGGGACACATTGCGATGCGGTGGGATGCAGTGGGATGCAGTGGGACACATTGCAATGCAGTGGGATGTATTGGGATGCAGTGGGACACATTGCGATGCAGTGGGATGTATTGGGATGCAGTGGGATACACTGCGATGCAGTGGGATGCAGTAGGATGCAGTGGGATACATTGTGATGCAGTGGGATGTATTAGGATGCAGTGGGATACATTGCGATGCAGTGGGATGCAGCGGGATGTATTGGGATGCAGTGGGAGCATCAAGCATAAGCAAGGCTCACCAGTGTTTTCTGATCTTCTTCAGCGACTTTGAGGCGTTTCTGGGCTTCTTCATAGGCCTGAGGGGGGGAAAAGGGGGGGATAAGGGGGGAAAATGGGGAAATAAGGGGGGGAAATGGGGGAATAAGGGAGAGTTCCCAAAGCACCCCCCAATCCCACCCAATTCCTTGTGGGAACACCAAATGCTCTCCAGGATTGTCCCCAGGGATACCCTCCTCCTGCCTGCCAGCTCCAGATCCCACCTGGAGCCATCAATTCCTATTGGACCCCTCCTAAATCCCATTGAGGAACCCCAACCCATGGACACCCCCAATCCCCCCCCTCCATTCCCAGCCGTGCCCCTCACCTTGGCGTCAGGGCGGGTGAGGACGGTGCGGGAGTGATCCCGGCGCCGCAGGCGCTCGGCGTAGGCATCGCGTTCCTGCAGATCCCGGAGCCGTTCCCGCTCCGACGCTTCCCATTCCGCTTCCGGCTCCTCGGGGGGATCCGGAGCCCTGGGGGGGGACGAGACCCATATGGGTTGGATGTGATCCTGAAGACGGGAACCCCCAAATCCCAAGGGATCTCAAAAGCTCCACAGGGAGACCCTGGATACTGGGGGACGGGACCCACATGGGTTGGATGCGATCCTAAAGATGGGAACCCCCAAATCCCAAGGCATCCCCAAAGCTCCATAGGGAGACCCTGGATAACGGGGGGGGGGGAACAGGGACACCCACATGGGTTGGACACGGTCCTAAAGATGGGAACCCCCAAATCCCAAGGGATCCCAAAAGCTCTATAGGGAGACCCTGGACACTGGGGGACGGGACCCACATGGGTTGGATGCGATCCTAAAGATGGGAACCCCCAAATCCCAAGGGATCCCCAAAGCTCCATAGGGAAACCCTGGACACTGGGGTGGGGAATGGGGACACCCACATGGGTTGGACGCAATCCTAAAGATGGGAACCCCCAAATCCCAAGGGATCCCCAAAGCTCCATAGGGAGACCCTGGATAACGGGGTGGGGAATGGGGACACCCACATGGGTTGGACACGGTCCTAAAGATGGGAACCCCCAAATCCCAAGGGATCCCCAAAGCTCCATAGGGAGACCCTGGATAACGGGGTGGGGGTACTCACGGTGGGGGGGGCGATGGCGAGGGGCTGGAGGCCTCGGGGGACTGAGAGCGTCGCGGCCGCAGGTGTCGGCGATGTCGGGACGCGCTGTGGGCGGAGCCAGGCGGAGGGGCGTGGCTGGCGGCAGGCCCCGCCCCCTCGTCGTCGCTCTCCACCAATCGGTAGCCTTGGCTGCGGCGCTGCAGCTCCATCGCGGCGCGCTCCGCAGCGCGGCCCGGCGGCTCCGGCCGCGCCTCCCGGGGCACCTGGGGGCGTGGCCAACATCAAGACACGCCCCCTCCGCGGCATGGCCACACCCACCTTCTCTGAGCGCTCCCCCAAGCCCCGCCCCTTTCCCCTTGGCCCCGCCCACCTTCCCCCAGAGCTCCCTGGCGAAGGCCTGCACCCGCGGCTCCTCCACCCGCAGCGCCTCCGTGTCCCGCAGCCGCTCCAGCAGCTCCTCCGCGCTGCGGCTCCTCCGGGCCAGCGCCACCAGGAAGGCGGGGACGTGGCGGCCGCTGAGCCCCAGCAGCTCCTGCAGCTCCCCGGACACCCAGCGCTCCAACGCCGCCGCCGCCGCCGCCATTGCTGCTTCTCCTTCCTCTCCCCGCCTCACGCCGCCGGCAGCCAATCAGCGCGCTCCGCGCATGCGCGCAGACCGCCCTACCGTAATACCGCGCAGAGCAGCGCCGCACAAACCATAACCGCGCTCCCTTTATCCCCGCACACACACACAAGGCGGGGGGGGGGGGGATCGGGGGTAATTGGGGTCCTTTTGTCCCCCCCAACGTCGTCCCCGCTGTCACAAGAGCCACGGTTGAGCGTTTATTGCCGCGTACAGCACCGCGGGGTAAAAGGAGGAACACAAAAGGCTTCGTTGCCACGGCAACCACAGCAGGCCGCAGGCTCCGTTGCCGTAGCAACAGGAGCAGGCCGCTGTATGTGTATGTCCCCCCTCCCCCCCATCACGTTGCCATGGTTACCCCCCCCCCCCCCCCCAAATCCCGGTATCAAACTGGGGCAGCTCCAGTTGGCCCAATACTGACAAAGCTTAGAAAAGGCCGTAATTAAGCTAAAAAACACGCATAAAGAATAATTGCCCCCCCTCCCCCCCGCTATAAAAGCTACAAAATGAGAGCTGGGACCCCCCCCATGGTGTCCTTGTACCCGTCCCCTCCCCCCCCGTCTATGGGGGTCTATGGGGTCCATGGGGGTCCTGCCCCGCCGGGGGGGGGTCCTGCAGGTCCATGGTGGTGGCAATGGTGAGGGGGGGGGTCCCAAGGTGGCTCCATCGTCACCCCCCCACACACACCCCCCAGCCGTGGGGCAGAGGCCGGGGTTACCGGCGGCAGGATTCATCTGGGGGAGGGGGAGACACGGGGATGGGACCCCCATGACCCCCCCCACGGCCACAGACCCCCATTACCCCCTTTAACCCCCCATTAGCCCCCCCATTGTCCCCCATGAGCCCCTCCATTACACCCAATGACCCCCCCATGGCCATAGACCCCCCATTACTCCCCCATTACCCTCTTTAACCCCCCATTACCCCCCCTATTGCCCCCCGTAAGCCACTCCATTATCCCCCAATGACCCCCCCATGGCCATAGACCCCCATTACTCCCCCATCACCCCCTTTAACTCCCTATTACTGCCCATTATCCCTCCATTACCCCCCCAATACCCCCCCATGGCCATAGACCCCAATTACCCCCTTTAGCCCCCCATTACCCCCCATGAGCCCCTCCATTCCCCCCCATGACACCCCCCATGGCCATAGACCCCCATTACCCCCCATTGAGCCCCCCTTTACCCCCCATCACCCCCCCCATGTCTCACCCACGAGCAGGGCTCGCGCCCGCAGCCCCCCAGGCCCCCCCCGCACATGGGGGGGCTCCTCCTCCTCATCTTCCTCATCGGGGGCAGGGCCTGGGGGGGGTGAAGGCTCCTCGGGGGGGCCCCAGGCCGCCAGCAGCGCCCCCTCCGACGGGTAAGAGAAGGTGCGCTCCAGGTCCCGCTCGCTGAACCAGATCTTCAGCTGCGGCAATGGGGGGCAAGGGGGTAATGGGGTAAGGGGGTTAATGGGGGTAATGGGGGCAATGGGGGTAATGGGGGTAATGGGGGCAATGGGGGTAATGGGGGTAATGGGCAATAGGGGGCAATGGGGGGAACAGGGGCAATGGGGTAATTGGGGTAATGGGGGCAATGGAGTAATGGGGGCAATGGGGGGAATGAAGTAATGGGACAATGGGGTAATGGGGGAATAATGGGAGGGGCAATGGTGGGATAATGAGGGGTCACATGGGGACACCATAGGGACACTATAGGGACAGATGGGGACACCATGGGGACACCATAGGGACACCATAGGGACAGATGGGGACACCATAGGGACACCATAGGGACAGATGGGGACAACATAGGGACACCATAGGGATACATGGGGACACCATAGGGACACCACAGGGACACGTGAAGACACCATTGGGACACCATAGGGACACGTGAGGACACCATAGGGACACATGGGGACACCATTGGGACACCATAGGGACACCCTGGCCCTACCACCCCCCCGCCGTTCCCATGGCGATTAATCCCCCTCTTCGCTTAAGCATCATTAATGGGAGGCTCTTAATGGGGGGGGGAGGTCATGTGACCTGCGGGGGGGGGGGGGGCAGAGGAGGGGCTGCCCCTCCCCCATAGAGCCACTTCCTGCCCATCCCCCCCCCCCAGTTCCTGTTTTCGGGGTGCTGCTGGGGGTGGGGGTGGGGCAGGAAGTGGGGCTGGGGCCGTTGGGGGGGCAGGAACAAGGGTTGGGGACCCCGGGAAGGGGCAGGGATGGGGACAGGGATGTGGGATGGGGATATGGGGTGGGGACATTGGATGGGATCGGGACACGGGGATGAGGACAGGGATGTGGGATGGGGACATGGGATGGGATGGGGACAGGGATATGAGATGGGGATATAGGGATGGGGACAGGGATATGGGGTGAGGACATTGGATGGGATGGGGACAGGGATATGGGGTGGGGACATTGGATGGGATGGGGACATGGGGATGGGGACAGGGATGTGGGGACGGGGACATTGGATGGGATGGGGACAGGGATATGGGGTGGGGACATTGGATGGGATGGGGACAGGGATATGGGGTGGGGACATTGGATGGGATGGGGACATGGGGATGGGGACAGGGATGTGGGGACGGGGACATTGGATAGGATGGGGACAGGGATATGGGGTGGGGACATTGGATGGGATGGGGACATGGGGATGGGGACAGTGATGTGGGGACGGGGACATTGGATGGGATGGGGACAGGGATATGGGATGGGGTCAGGAACATGGGGATGGGGACAGGAAGGTCCAGGAGGGGACAAGGAAGAGGTGACACTGAGGGGCTGGGGGGACCCCAACAGGAGCCATGGGGTGGCCATGGGGACACAAAGGGACACGGATGGGGCCATGGGGCCGCTACCTTCTTGCGGTGGGGGTGGCTCTTGGCCAGGCAGGAGCGCGGCAGCGCCAGGTACCCCCCGATGACCTGGATCTCTTCCGCCGTGGGGTAGCGCTTCTTGGGGGGGGGCAGCGGCTCCGGCCCCACTGCTGGTGCCGGTGCCGGGGGGGCCGGCTCTGGCGCTGTGGTCCCGGTACCGGTGGCCCCCCGGCGCGGGCGCACGGTGATGGTGTTCCCGCTGCGGCGCTCCAGGGCCGGGTGGGCCAGGGGGGGCCCATGGCGGGGGCCCCCGCGCATGGCGGCGCCCGGCTCCTCCCCACCCGCACCCGGTGGTGATGGCGATGGTGACGATGGTGACGGCGGCACCGGCACTGAGCACGTGGTGGGGCCCTTGGGTGGCACCGGGGCCTTGGCTGGAGCCAGGTCCTTGGGTGGCACCGGGTCCCTTGGTGGCACCAGGACCTTGGGTGGCACCAGGTCTTTGGTTAGCACCAGGTCCTTCGGTGCCACCGGCTCCTTTGGTGTCACCGGGACCTTCGTTGTCACCAGCTCTTTGGGTGTCACCAGAGCTTTAGTTGTAACCAGGTCCTTTGGTGTCACCAGGACCTTGGGTATCACTGGGTCCTTTGGTGCCACCGGCTCCTTTGGTGCCACCGGATTTGGTACCACCGGATTTGGTACCACCGGTTTTGGTGCCACTGGATTTGGTACCACCGGATTTGGTACCACTGGATTTGGTACCACCGGATTTGGTGCCACCACCTCTTTGGTTGCCCCCACCCCGACGCCCCCCCCTTGCCCCTTCCCCTCCTTGCACCCCTCAATGCCCCCCTTGCCCGCTCCCCTCTTCTCCCCCTCCAGCTCCTTGCTTGCCCCCCCGCCATCCCCCTGGCCCTTGCCTGCCCTATGGCTCTCAGCCCCGCTCTTGCCCTCCGCCTGCCCCACATCCTTCGGTGGCCCCGGGCCCCCATGGCCCTCCGTGGTTCCCTGCATCCCCGCTGAGCCCGGAGCACCCTCAGGCACCCCCGGGGCCCCCCGGTCCCGCTCGGGGCTCAGGGACCGGGCAGGGGCGAAGCGGGAGCGGAGGCGCCGGACGCGGCCGCGGGGGGGCTCCGGTTCCCCGCCGCTCTCCAGCGCCTCCGCGCTGCGGCTCAGCCCCGGCTCCGCGGGGCCCGGCCCGGCCCCGCTGTTACCGGACGCCCCGGGGCTGCCCCCGGCCTTGGCCCGGCGCCGCTCCAGCAGCTCCCGCTTCCAAAGGGGAAGCTGCGCAGCCCGGTCCCGCTGCTCCCGCTCCCGTCGCACCGAGGCCTCCTCCTCCCGGCGCCGCCGCTCCAGGAGCTGCAGCTTCCAGCCCGGAACCGCCATGGCCTGAGGGGACGGGGAGGGACGGGGATGGAGCTGCGGCACGGATCCGGGATGGGGATGGGGATGGGGCACGGATCCGGGATGGGGATGGAGCAGGGGCACGAATCCGGGATGGGGATGGGGATGGGGCACGGATCCGGGATGGGGATGGAGCAGGGGCACGAATCCGGGATAGGGATGGAGCAGGGGCACGGATCCGGGATGGGGATGGAGCAGGGACACGGATCCGGGATGGGAATGGAGCAGGGACACGGATCCGGGATGGGGATGGAGCACGAATCCGGGATAGGGATGGAGCAGGGGCACGGATCCGGGATGGGGATGGAGCAGGGGCACGGATCCGGGATGGGGATGGAGCAGGGACACCGATCCAGCACGGAGGGATGGGGATGGTGGAGCTGGAATGGCAAGGTGATGGGTTAGTATGGGGATGATGGAGGAACCAAGGATGGGGATGATGAAGGAACAAGGGATGGAGATGAAGAGGAACCAAGGACAGGGATGAAGAAGAACCAAGGATGGGGATGATGGAGGAACAAGGATGGGGATGATGGAGGAGCAAGGATAGGAATGAGGGCCCAAGGATGGGGATGGTGGAGGAACCAAGGATAGGAATGATGGAGGAACAAGGATGGGGATGATGGAGGAACAACGATGGGGATGAAGAGGATCCAAGGATGGGGATGAAGAAGAACCAAGGATGGGGGTGATGGAGGAACAAGGATGGGGATGATGGAGCCGGAATGGGGACGTGATGGATTAGGATAGGGATGATGGGGGAACCAAAAGGATGGAGATGAGGAGGAACCAAGGATGGGGATGATGGAGGAACAAGGGATGGGGATGAAGAGGAACCAAGGGTGGGAATGAGGGCCCAAGGATGGGGATGGTGAAGGAACAAGAGATGGGAATGGTGGAAGAACCAAGGATGGGGATGATGGAGGAACAAGGATAGGGATGAAGAGGAACCATGGATGGGGATGATGGAGCAGGGATGGGGATGATGGAGGAACAAGGATAGGGATGAAGAGGAACCATGGATGGGGATGAAGAGGAGCCAGGGATGGGGATGATGGAGCAGGGATGGGGACCGGAGCCACTCAGGCCACCATGGAGGGGGGTGATGCTGATGGGACGAGGAGGGGACCCCTGGGGACACCAGAACGGGCATTGTCCCCCCCATCACAGCTCCTGGTGTTGGCATCCAAAGGTGGGGGGGAGCACCTGGGATCGGGTGCCAGGATTTAGGTGGGGGGCAGGAGATTGGGGGTCTCAAGATAATAGGGGGAACCCCAAGCTTTCAAGGGGTGTCCATGCTATGGGGGTGTCCATGCTATGGAGGGGTCCCTGCTATGGGGGGATCCATGCTATGGGGTGGGGTCCATGCTATGGGGGGGTCATGAACCGGGGTGGGCTCTATGCTATGGGGTGGATCCATGCTTTGGGAGGGGGGGGATCCATGCCATGGGGTAGGGTTCATGCTATGGGGGGTATGTTTGGGGGTGGGGCCCTGTTTGGGGGTGGGCCTGCTATGGGGTGGGGCCCTGCTTGGGGTGGGTCCCTCTATTAGGTATTTGGGGGGGT